TTAGTAGACCGCCATCTATGTTCATCAATCTGCTTTGGAGAAACTTTTTAAAATTCTGGTGATGTCCTCATGTCTTGTTCTCTCTCATCGTTGTCATTTCATTTTTATTTTCATTCTCCTTGAAAGAAAAAAAACTTGTCTTCTCTCTCTCTCTCTCTCGTTTTTCTTGTCTTACTTTATATTAATTTGTGTCCATTTAAATTACGTTTTATTGATAATCAGCTTTAGATAATCAAATATAAAATTGTTTGAATGTTACTTCAATCGAGTCACTGAATCTGAATTTTTCACATGAAAATAAGAACAATCTTATTGTAACAAATAATTCATCATTTTGTGTTCATGTTATCAATCAGAAAGTTAATATTGAAATTGAGAAATAGAATAAAATGAAATGAAATATGAATAAATTGATAAACAACAGAGACAAGAAAGAAAAATTTGAATCGTTTTGTTGATCCTATTTTCCATGAGAATCGAGAAAGCGACTGTCAAATGTTACACAAAACTTGTATCATTTGCTTATTTTCATGTTTCTCATCACAAAAAAAAACAATTGGAAATCAATTGATTTGATTACATGATCTCATCTCCTATAAATTGAGTTTATTTATATTCGTTTGATTTGTTAATTTGATAAGAAGCTTATGAAGCTACTTAAGAAATGATTAATTACTTTTTAAATGTAACAAAATATTTGATGTCACATTATTATATTGAATCTGAATGGGCCACCCTGAGATTATGAAGATTATGATGGGTGATGATCTCAACAGGGATTATCATTATTATCAGTTATTAAGTCAAGTTAATATGTTTGCTTTTTGCTTTTGTTGAGAAATAAACAAGTAAAACATTATCGCTTTTGTTGTTATTTGTTGATAGTTTGAAGCCTTCAAGGTTTTTCTTCAAATCAAGTTACTATCAACTCAACGTAACCAAACCTGAAATGTTTCATCAAATTACCTTTAATTTTATCAAATTAACTACCAAACTGGGTGGTAGTCACTCCTCTTCATCTTCTCATCATTTTTACAAGTTTTCTTTTCAAGATAAAAAGAAAAAACTTTTCTTCGCAAAATCAGCTGATTACGATTATCAACAAGTTAACCCAAAAGACTGATTATTTTATTTGGATCGATTATCAAATTGTATCATCGTCAATATATCAGATTGAGACACTTTCCACTTTCCACTTTCTACTTTTATCATCATATTATAATTATGATCAATTATCATGATGATGATTATGATTAGGATTTTAATGACAATCGTTAATTACTTTTGGTTAAATGAAAATTGTCTTTAGTTGCAAATTAACTTTGAATCTCTGACAAAATAACAATTCACAGAATGAGAAACTTTTGTTTCTTCAAGTGGGTGAGGCTTTTGGTTAATGTTTTCTCTTTGGAATCATTTCCAAATATTAACATGACGATTCTCTTGACAAAACGAAACCATTTTCAAGGTTCGTTATCATAATAACTATTTAAGGGCCAACGAGTTTTACCCAGAAAGTGAGTGTTGCAGATCCATTGTTGGTACTTTTCACCTTACATTTCATGTTCCTCTTTAAACTGCTTCTTGTTATTATGAAATATTTAATTGTCAACAATTAACTTAATTGTACTTTGACATGGATCCGACTAATAACTTGTCATAATCCGGTCATAACGAAAGAGACAAATCTTGAGTTAGTTACTCAAACAATTAGCACATCAAGACAATAAATTATGGGCTGGAAGAAATAAATTGTTCATAACTTTCCCTCAATGAAATAGTAAGAAAATTAGTTTGTTTAAAACAAGTCAAGTTAATCACTTTTATTTAGTTTGGTTTCTATTCAAACAATTAACTAAATAATGAGTAACCATTAACCACTTGAATAGACATCAATATAAATTGACATCTTTATGAACCTAAATTGAATCATTTCAATTGATTAAATGTTTGAGTCCGTTAATCAGTTAATCAGTTAATCACTTTCAACAAAAGTCCACATGCTGAGTTTAGATTATCCAACTTGCAATTTACCTGAAAAAAGGGAACATTAAAACGGAAATTTTTCTTATCTCGAGTAATTTAGGCTGGGCCAGGGTATAAATCATTCGCTGTTTGCTAACCCAGGGGTTAGTTTACCAACTATCTGAATCTTTATCATGAGGAAGAAGGAAAATTTTATCAATCTTGAGAAAATTGATTCAACGAAAACCTGAAATTCTTGTGACTTTCTGATCAATATGATCTTCCAACTTGTTCATCTATCAGATTCTCTTGCCATTTAATCAAAAGAATAGAAATTAATCAATTAATTCATTGATTGCCATGTTCTTGTTCTTGTTTTCACTTTTATTTATTTAAAACAAATCACTGATTTAATTTATGGACAATTAAAAGATATGATTAAATTAAATTACTCATGCAAATGAATTGCAAGGAATATTAATTAAAAATTGGGTCAATTAAAGGTAATCAATTTGTCAGAATTTTGTTCAATCTTTAATCTTTTATTATGATTAAAGGTAAAATTTAATAAACAACAATTCAACTTTTGATTAAATAATTATAAAGGTAAACATGGAGAGAAGCAATTTAACGGACGATGTTTAATTGTTGCTCTTTTAAATTATGTTTTCAGGCTAAATTGTTGTTTCAATTTGCAAGTGAATCGCAAGAAGAAAGCGCAATCAAGTTAAATCAATAGAAAGAAATATAAACGATCACAATCAATCACAATTTGTCTTTAATCAATCTGTTCGATAAATGATTTAATGGATTAACTGTTACCTGTTGGTTAGATAATTAACAACTTTTCCTAACCTGTAATTAGACTTGAAAGTTAATTGCATTGATTGAATCAATTAGAGAGACTCATCATCATAATTATCATCAATAGACTGATGATTACAGTTTATGTTTGTTTGTTTGTCTGAATACTTAATAGAAACAGAGAAATGATAATAAATATAATTGTTTCTTAATCAAGGCCACACAATTAGTAAACCCAATTGAATTGAAATCCCTTTAGGGCATCTTGAGGTCCAAATAGTTGTTTCTACGAGGCTCATGTCTTTGCACAATAATAACAAGATGATGATGATGATGGATAATAAAAAACTTCCGTTCTAATCATTCTAATTGTAAGCTCATTCATTTTCAGGTTGACAACAATTAACACAAAACCAACATTGAATCGGATGGTTACTGATGTTTTCTTTTCATGGTTGTAAACCTCCAAGAGGTTGACCACTTATTAATCTCAGACTACAATTTCATGCTCATGTTGATGCTCATGTTCACAACAATCAACATGAAACAAAAAAGGTCAACAAAATAGTTTATGCAATGATAAGCAAGACAACAACAATCAAATTAAATTTATCTTCAGTGACATGACAACTTTTTACATGATAATTGATATAATCATTGTTTTAATCTGATTGAATTAATATCTTGTAGCTCATTTGAATAATCTTATCCTTAATTGGTTATCATGTTTACCTTACAACTAATCATTTTGACCATAATTCTGTCAACAGGTATAATAATGTTGATCGATCATCATCATTATCTTCATCATCTCCATCATCATTTAGAGTATAATCATCATAATTAGGCAATAATTGACTAACGAAGAATGTAAATTAGACAACAATTATCATTTCATTGGAAAAGGTTGAAAATTGTGTTTACGAAAATCGCAACTTGGAAAATCATTTTAATTGCAACTTCAGGGAATCGTCATGATGATCACTTTTGATTAATTAATTAAACCAAGTCAATTAATTAAGCTTTTCTTTATTTGACAAAATTAAATTTAATCTGAGTCGTTAGTTAATTCAAGTACTTAAATATCTTTGATTTGGAAATTGAATCAACAGTTTTTCCTTTTCCATTATCAATCATCAAGAATAAATTACTTCAATTAAAAGTTAAATTACTATCACAATCCTTTGAATGATGGGCCTAGATAATGAGAGTAGTTTATTATTAACATTTGGTGAACTAGTTAATTGTGAACATTGAGTGTTGATTGTTATAAATCACTGGACTTGCAGTTGAAAGTTTAAATTGGTTCATCTAATTGTTGATAAATGTTATCAAATTGTTACAATTGTCGGTGTCAGAAAATGATTGGCTTAAAATGATTAATTATCTGTCCAATTAATCTAATGCATTAAATTATTTAAACTTAAACTGTTGTCTCTCAACTGATTACAATCAGCTAATTTTAATTCAACTTTAAATTAACAGTTAACTGTAGTCACTTGAATTACGCCCCAATGTATGTGTTTGGTGAATGCGATCAGAACTGTAACACTCAAAGTCTCAAGGTTAATATTTAAAAGGGAAGTTGTTTGTTTGTTTCTTTGATTTAATTTCAAATTAAATTAACACTAATGCTGATAATCGATTGAACTGTTAATTGTTAATTATCTGATTTAATTGGAGTAGTTAATGTTACCCATCTCATCTGTGAACCATCAAATCAAATGAAAGACCAGAGACTTGATCAACTTGACTTTTGCTACAATCAACTTGTTACCATAATAAATGCTGGTTAATCAACATCAACAATCAAATAACAATTGAAATCAACAACCGATAATCAAATGAAACCAATTTAAAGACCAAACAATTTAAATTAAAATTAATCTTTCCTTTTTCCTTCCCCATCCCCGATCAATTAATTACATGTTAATTATTTAATTGAGTTAAATGTAATCAAAATTTACTCCATTTTAATTGTTTGTTTAATGTAATTAACGTGAACCATATTATCATTTTCATTATTTGCATCTAAATTTGACCTTTTGATTTTAATTGTTGGACACTTGATAATTGATAATAGTTACTTACACTTTAATTCACACTTAATCCTTATTATTATCATTACCTTAATTACCATGATTATTATTACGAGTATTATGATTATCATTAATTTAATTACTACACATATTCATTCATTCATTCATTCATTCATTATGTTGATCATCTAGAGGGCCGAGAATGCGTTAATTGTGGTGCTACTTCAACTCCTCTCTGGCGTCGAGATGGAACAGGTCATTACCTTTGTAATGCTTGTGGACTTTACCATAAGATGAATGGTCAGAATAGACCGTTAATCAAGCCCAAAAGAAGATTGGTAAGTTAATTAATTAATTAATTATTCATTTTCCATTGTTGTTGAACATCATCATTATCTCGATTATCTCCTCCATCTACTTCATCTCATGAATCTCATTTGGAGAAACTTGTTAAATCTTCTAATAGATAAATAAACACTAAAAAGGTTCTTCAGGTGATTGTCGCCGTCTGGACTCTTCACCTTAGAGTTTAGGCCAGTGTTTTTCGCTCGATACTTCGAAGCGATAGAAGATGAGAAGGTTACCTGTTGATGGAACATTTTCCTTGTTCTTTGTCTACCTTGATTCGAAAGAGGAAGAGGCAGAAAAGTCTTTGTCTAGACAAAGAAAGAAAGAGAATAAGTGGAAATGAAAGAAAAAAGAGATGAAAAAGCAACGATGACAACCTCAAAAAAGGTTCTAAGGCCAAAATGTGAGGGTAGAATTTGACCTTAGGCAAATCAAGATGGAGCCAAGATTATCAAGATTCTCTTTCTCCCTTTTTCATCTCCCATGTTTATGTTTCATTCCAACTCCCTGTCATCATTTACCCTTAGGCTACGAAAGTGTCTCTTTCTTTTCTCGTTACTTTATACACTCAGTTGATTCTCCTTTTAGATTGACTCTTAAGAAAAGGTGACTAGTGAGATGATGAGAAATTCAGCCCAACTCATTTCATCTTCATCTTCATCTTCTTTTCTCTTTAAATGTTAAATAAAAATGATTTTTAATAAAAAAGAACAAGTAGTTTTTCTATTGAATATCAGTTTGTTTGTGACAAGATTCTCATCAGGGATCCAAGAGAAGGAGGAACTCGACTCACCAGGGAGTCTATTTAGAACTGAGTGTGTAAAATTGGCGGATAATTTGCTCACAGGAACTTGCACAGTTACTGGAAGGTCTTGGTATCGATTGAATTAATATTTACATTGCATCTCAAGAATCATGTTGATTGCGTGCAATCAATTTGATAGCATTCAAGTTGATGTACCACAAAGTGACATTGAACATGACAATTGTGGTGTCACTTAATGTAACTGATTGGATCATAAAAATTGGATTAACTTTTTACTTGTTTTTTATTCGCAAGTAACTTTTCTATCTTTCCGGTTGAAATAACGTGCTGTCTGAACACGCTGATAACACGAGTTGATTAACTTTAACTTACTTGAGTTAATTTGTATCAATGAAACAACAATATTGTCAAGGGATTAAACTTACATTCGGCTCATCACCTTCTTGTCAAGATTAGTCGAGAAGATGCTCAATTTCATGAAAGAATAGTACAAATTTCAGCCAAACTAATGAAGGATATTGCTAATGGATTATAAAAAGAGATTGACTTTTGATACATTATCCAATCAATTAAACAATCGACTCCTTAATCTAGTTCAAAGTAAAAAAATATAATCTCAAATTTAGTTTTTATCTCTATCCGTTTAAATTGATCTGTTGAGTTGATTATGTAATCAATTTTAACTTGATTAACGGTTAATAATTACAATCCAACTTGAAGTGATTACAACCACTAGTGACCTTAGAATCTTCAACCTTATTCTGATGAATGAAAATGTTGATAAATCAAGAAAATGACTCTTTCTCATTCTTTGGTCAAAAACAACAACGATAACAAATTAAGTGAACAGGAAGATAAAGATTAAGGAATAGCGATAAAAAGACTTACCTGATGATGATAATGATGATAGTGAAGTGGACAAGCGGATGCTTAACGTTGTAAGTAATAAGATTTATGAGAAAGTAAAAAAATGGTGATGATAAAGTGAATCAGATTAACTATTTAAAACCATCCGGACATTTTTGTCTCGTAAATTTGAAACACTTTGAATTATATGTAATAAAAGGTTAACATTGAAACCATTTTGCTAATCCAATTTCAGTTAATCTTTTTTCATCTTATGTTACAATAATTCTGTCAAATTTTGTCACCAAGATCATATCGTGCTCTTTATTAAAGTAAAAACGAGTTCATGGTAACAGTGAACAAGATAAAACCGAACTGAGTTTGTGTCAATTGGTGTCAACTTGGATTAACTGGTTACCATGTAAACTTGTTTTCTCATTTCATGATAGTTTATGTTTCTATCGATGGATCGAGACATGAGTGATTCGCCTATCAAAATATTAATAGACTTGGATTATCATCGCACTTTCCTTATATTGAATTACTTGGTTTCCCTCGGATATCGGATAACATTTAATCTATGGAAAGAGAAGGTTAAATGTACGACACGAAATGAATGAACATTTCGGACCATAAGAAGCTTTTCTTTCGTGCCAACGCACTAAGAAGATGAAGTTTAATGTAACCGAAAGAATAGAAATTGAAAAAAATGCTCCAAGCAATTTAGATGATTTAAGAAAAGCCTAATAACTCATCAATCCATCATCATTATTATTACTTGTTTTCCATCATTTGCAAGATGAATTCATGTCATCACCTTTTAAACATTAATTTTCATCACTATTATTATCATTTTCTTGTTAAGTTTAGTATTTACATTGAGGAAATTGTTGTTTAATTGATTGAATAATTTGTATCTCATCATCATCATCTTAATCACGACATCGTATTATTCATACCAATCATGTTCAAGATGATTCCATGATAGTTTGAATTTATGAGAAAAGGGCGTTCGATGTGATATTATTTTCATCGTCAGTTCATTTGTTAATTTCTCAGGAAATTAACATGAAGGTAAAAAGAAAAGACAACAAAAGGATATCCAATGGAGAGAATTGAATTATCTCAACCATGAATATTAGTTATCAATAAAATTGATTCATTGACTTTCTTTTCTTTTCAATCTCTACATTGTTATTACCTTTCTCTTTGTGTTTTCTTTTATTTACCATAGAGATTTTATTTTGTCAACTCCACCCATTAGATCATCTCTTTCTCTCTCTCTTTTTGTGGTTCCTTTACCTTTTCTCACACATGAAACTCACCTTTACCTTGAATAACATTATCATTTCCCGATAATAATAATATTAATAAAAGATGATCATCTCACTCCTTCCAACTCCTCCCAAAATGGACATGCGATCATCATCAATAATAATAATACAATTTGGTACAAAAGAAAAAGAAACCAACTTGTCACTACTTGAGCTCAAATTGGTTCTATTGATAGATAATAATACTAATATAATATTGGACCAACTACGGAGCCTCTTGACTTTCAGGTAACATCCATTAAGGCCAAAGGTGAACTCCCAGTGAAAACAAGTCCCTTGGAGTCGCGTTATTATTATTCAAATTACTCGAACCTCCCATTTCTTTCAATTTAATTGAAACTTTCCTTTTCTCTTTATTATCATTGTAACTCTCTCGCTCTCAAAATCATCGGGCCACACACATCGTAATTCAATCACGTTCAGTTAATCCATCTCAAAGTATCGATACTTAATTGGACCATAATATTTATTTGATAATAATAAACGTGGTTAATGTTTTTTACTTTAAATTAGACCGATTATTATAATTACATGTTAACTTTACTTTAACAAATCAATTTGTTTGTTTCATTGATCAATCAATCAAATAATCAAGAGGTTCAAGGTTTAAGGAAACAAGTTACTTGATATTATTAATTGAGTGAAGGAATGAACAATGTTGGTGATTTATTGCTTCTAATTTGAATTAATTTGCCAAATTAAGAGACAATTTCGACAGCGATTACAATTCAAGCTGAGAGGCGACACTGAAAAGAATTTGAATTATTTTCTTTGGATTTTAAAGTAACTTTATTAAGATAATATTTTGAAAGATTATCCAAGCATCGAGTCGATGTATCATTTACGCTAAAAGCTCATTCGTAGTCTTAAAACGGTCAAGCTAAGTTGATCCATTTAAATGGAAAGAATGTTAATTCGTTGGTTCATCAGGAATGTTAAGTAATAATAACAGATAATGATGATGATGAGCAATGACAATTGATGAATTTAAGGTTAAACAAACTGAGAAGATTATTAATATTATTTTCCTTTATTTCTACCATATGATTGAACAATAGTCTGCATCAAGAAGAGCGGGGACAAGTTGTGCCAATTGTAAAACAACAACAACAACACTATGGCGACGCAACCATAATGGCGAACCCGTTTGCAATGCTTGTGGTCTCTACTATAAACTTCATAATGTAAGTTTTCATTTTGTTATTGTCATTGATTGTGAGGGAAAAACACCAACAACGAACTGTGATAACTCGCTGTAAATTCAATGAGAGATGGAAATACAATCTTATCATCAACTCAATGAATATCGAATATGATTCAATGTTGGAGATTTGGTCTTGTGAGTTGGTACGAATTTGATGACGATGATGTTGATGAGATGAAGATGAAGATGAAGATAAAAATGAAGATGGAGATGGAAATGGTGAGAGCAAAAGGAAGAAGGATAAATATTATCTTCCCTTGAATGAACAAGAATGCGATGGTTTGTTTTGGTGACACAGGAAAATGTCTGGTGCCAAGTGAGTTGATATAGTTGAATGAATATTGTGGGGATGCTGAAGATGCTAAATATACTCTGTATATCTCAGAGAGAATCATCTTGTCGCCTTTCTGGAGCCAGAAACTCTGTAACCGTGACAACCACATCCAATCTCCCTTATCACCCAAGCATCATCTTCATCTTCATCTTCATCTTCATCTCCATCCTCATCTTTATAGTAAGTTGAGACTCATCCACTTTAATATGAAAGGGATGTGACATATGATGTTTAGTAGCGATAAGAAATCAGTCGCAACCATCGGTTAACCGCTATAACGTTTGTCGTTTTATTAACTCAAGGATTTTTCTTTCCAACTAATTAGTTAATCATTTCAATATAAATATCCTATGGGCTATAAGATAAAACAAGTGATTAATTAATTGGAGGAAGAAATGGCCATTTATTAATCTAAATTGTTAATCAATTGTAATTAAATTTGATAGTTAACAGAAGACGAAAGAGCGATCAAAACGTTTGCACAATTTACATCTTGATTTCTGTTGTTTGTTTACAGTAGTTAATCAATTAACGATAACCTTGATTGTTTTCATGAAAATAACAACAAAGTTTTCAAGGTAAATTGATTTAAAAGATTTAATAAGTTAATTTAGATTAGATTTAATTTAATTACAAATTGTTCTTTACTTTCCTTTAATTATTATGATTGAATAATGGAGAAAGGAGTGAGTACAGACTCTCGTTAATTGATGAGACATTAAGATGAACAATGGAGCTTAAACTCTAATGAGATTAACTGAATCTTAATCATCTTGAAACACTTTTTCTAACTCAAGTCAATCAACTCAGCTCAACATTACATTGTACACATGATACTCATGATCTTCATGATGCTCATCATGTACCAAAAGTTTCTGGTCCTTTTGCCAAAAAACAACATTAAAATTAACAATGTTAATAAAAAACAGCTCCTCATTTTTTGCCGATATTGTTATTAGATTAGCGATAAGTTAATGGATTAAACTGATTCAAATTGAATTAAGCCAGATAATCAGTTGATAATAACTAAATTAGTTGAGCATAATCATCATTATCTCTACAAATTTAATGACGATTATTTAGCTTCTGTTAATCAAACAGCGCTTTCAATTATTGCCATTAAATTGATAACAATTTGTGATTAACGGTTGTGTGTCCACAAGCAACGATAATTGGATTTTATCATTTGTTTATGTTTTTTAGATGAAATTTACTATTCGCATCCAATTGCGTGTGTTAACATTGTGTTGAGAAGATAATTGTTACTCTATGATGATAAATAGGTGAGAGAGTAGAGAAGATAAATAGATGTAAGTCTAAACAAGATCATCTGTTATTATCAATCGGACAACCGGTTCGTGGAGAGAGAGAGAGAGAGAGAGAGAGAGAGAGAGATTATTATCATCATCTTCTTATAAGAAAATAATGATAATGATGATGATGATGAGGTGATGATAAGTTTGTGGCTTTTACTTGGAATATCTTATTCTTGAGTAGAAATGATTATCATGAAGATGAAAAGAGAATAGAAATTGTCTTAGGTTTTGAAGGGAAAGATTCATTCTTATCCTGAGCACATCCTCATGAAAGATTAGAATGAAATACAAATGAAGAGGCCAAACATTTCCTAGGAGAAGCATCAACAACAAGGTGATGATGTAGATAATTAGAGCTGAGAAATAAAATGTATGTAGAAAATGTAATATTTATTTACCTTGAACATGAATTAAGAAACAAAAATGTGATAACTGATATTTGAAAGTTGATGTGGTAAATTTTGAATTATCATCATGATTATTATTATTATCATTCAAAGTTCCTTAAGCTTTACACTTTTTCACTTTGTTCAATTGCGATTGGGTTGATCAGTTCACACTCTGCCAACTATAATTTACATTGTGAGTATCACAAGGCCACAGTTTATCCGGTTGTATAATAATCATTATCATCTTGATAATGATAATAGGATGAGATTAAGATTCTAATGTATCATTTGTACAATTTCAACAAGTTCCTTCATCACCATAACAACAAAAATCGTGATTCCCTGTTGCTATTATATCATTTTGTAAATTGTGATGTTTGAATTCAGTTGATTGTTTGTTGTTACTTTTGTATCGAGTTTCTATTATTTCCATAATCTATTTTCAAATTCATTTAATCAACACAATTAACAATGTTTAATGTTGATTTTTCATTAGCCACAATTCAATTATGTATCATCCATCAAATGTACCTTTCAATTGTTTTCTTTGTGGAGATGATTAGTTTTCATTTATCAAGATTGAAGGAGTTTTGAATCGGGGCCATGATGGATTGAGAATTGAATTGATTGGAAAGATCGACCCGATAGACTCGGGCCAATTAACAACAAGAGATTGTTGATAGTCTTTAATATCATTAGATGATAATGATGATGTTAAACAGAAATGATTGTTTTCTTTGATAAGAATGGAAAAGATTCACGAACTTTTACCTTATTCTTATCTCCATTTACCTGGATTAGTTTGATTGCGTGTTTGTTGTTATCATTTGTTCATATGCGACAGTTTAGTCATGTAAGCAACCAGATATTGTTGTTTACCTGAGTAAACATCTTAACTTGTCCGATAATTTCATCAGATAAACAGAAAAAGAAATGGAAAATTAGTTAACTAATGTAACTCTAAATACAAGTTACGGGCGTTTTCGTAATGATTAAGGTTTAATTCAAATCAATGACCTCAATCAGATAATTTGAGTTACAGTTGATATTCAAGTAAATATGAAAGATAATCAAGATTAAGATAAAGTGAATATGAATCTTCAGTAGCAAAGGAACGAGTAATCACCAAAGTGAATATTATCATCGATGATAAGCAAAAGTAACGGTTCGTTTAGTTTAAGTTGAGTCTTTTTGCTGTTGTTGTTTTTTCTTATTCCATGATAACGATTTATCAATGATGAACTAATTCTAATTCTAATTCTGATTGTCAACTGATTCTTATGTTTAGGTGAATCGACCCTTGACCATGAAAAAAGATGGAATCCAAACACGTAATAGAAAATTATCATCGAAGGGAAAGAAAAAGAAAGGTCTTTTACCGATTACCGAAGTTCCCGTTTTAAAACCTTTGGATCCATCGAAACCTTTTTGTAGCTTTGCACCAACTCATGGTCATTTATCGTCCGCCATGAGCTCAATGTCCGCCATGTCAGCTGTTAATCACTATGTTCATGGTGCAGGTAATATGCCCCTAGGCATGGGTGGATCTCATTTCATGTCAAGTCACACAGGTATGCACATGGGACCCAATCAACATCATCCAGGTCATGGGTTATCGGCACTCTCATTCCAGGCTAGTAACCAAATTCTGGGTTCGATGGGAGCTGGAGGATTGGGATTACCGTCAACAAGTAGCATGGTCGGTGCTATGGCTTAATACATAAATTAATTAATTATTATCATCGTGTCATTTTCATAATCATTATCATCACATCGACATATTATCAAGGAAAGAGAAAGGAAGAGACAAGATAATGATGGAATTACATTTTTTATTGTTAATCCTTTTATTAACTAACTCATCTTGAAAAAGAATATAAATGCAGCGAAATTGATTAACTCTCCATGAATTGATATTCTCTTGGTCAAGATCAATTGGCGATTGTGCAGCATCAAAGGCCAAGCCAATAATCAACTTGATATTTGCAACTCGACATCATCACCATTATAATGTTTGTCTTTTTCTCTTTCATCATTATCATCCTCTTCATCTTCACCTCTATAATCATTTAAATGGTCAATTCATCACTTGACCAGCATATATATCTATGATCATCACATTTCTCTCTCTCTCTCTCTCTTTTCTACCTTCATCATGTTTCTTTTAAACTGTCATCCAAACTCTCATGAGAAATGAACCAAGCCAACAATAAAATTCAGCTTATCAAATGATCTTCAGATTGAATAATTAATGTTGATCTGTATTCGATAAATATTATCACCTAACGAACTGAATAAATGAAGTGATTAATTACAATTGAATTGATAAATAAAAGGAAAAGAAGACGATTGATTGAATTAACACGAATATTTAATGGTTTCTATTGTAAATCACTTGAAAGAAAAAGAAGAAAAAACAAATTGATTCAATCTCTTTTTCTTTTCTCATCATCTGTTCCTTAATCTTCATCTCTTCCTATCTCTCTCTCTCTCTCTCTCTCTCTCTCTGCCTCTCATAGTACTTATATTATCTGTATATGGCTAAGTAAAATAAAGAGTATAAAATATTGATATTAAAACAGTTCCTTTGAAAAGTTAATTGTAATTAATTATCAACTGAGAAGCAATTAAGTGAATGGCCAATTATATGTGAAAGGCAATTGCTGACAATTATAACTGACAAGCATTCGCTTCCTAGTTACGATTATGATTAGTGTATGGGAAGAGAGTGGAGATCTAAAGGTAAGTGAGGACATCGTGTTGTTGGACAATTTATTAAATTGTCTCAACTAAATTGATGGAAACAAAGAATAGAAAGTTTATCATTTTGTTTACCACCTTGGAACTTGAGTTACTATTAACATGGATTTTCAATTGGAACCTTAGCAGCGAAAATGTGAGATAAAGAGAAAGACCATTTCCATTGTTGTTGGAGAAAAGTTACCTTATCTTCTTGTCCATTATTCATTGTTAGCGATCTCAATGTGACGGCAATTGAAAAATGGCCTCAATTTGTAAAAGGTAACAGTATGAAGCCTGAAGATGAAGATGAAGATGAGGACGGGATGAGGATGAGGAAAGAGACCAAAAAACGGAAAAATATCTTACTCGAAGATGAAGTTCGAGATAATGATTAAGCTGATGTTATTCTTTGTATTAACTACCAGATGGCTTATCCATTTGATTTTATCATTTATTTCATCAAACAAACAAAATGAATGAACATCGATGTAAATCTGTGGCTCCTCCTAGGAATCATTGCAATCAAATATTTCGCTTCAATAAAACTGACAAAAGTGCAACTAAATAAAGAGACGATGTTGATGATTACGAAGAGGAGATGAGATGGACTGATATCGATATAGTGCCTCTAAAAGTGACCCATCAGACTAACGGGTGTCTCAGGTATTGTCAACTCTCTTCTTCTAATGTTAACCCTCAATAGAAAATCCTTTCCTGTTTCTTTCATTCTCGTTGCTTTATTCGCTTTTTTATCTTTCATCAGAATTTAAGTTGTTCTTTTTCTCCTCTTTTTCTCTCTTCTATTCTCATCTTCCCTTATCAGTTCAGATTATTATTCAATAAACGAATGCGAATCAAATGCTGTTTGTCAAACTCATCACCGAATTCAACTAAAACATCGAATCTTTTTTCGCCATCTTTTCCATTCTATTTACTATAAGAATCGATTTTATCTCTCATCTATTATCGAATGTACCTTGGAACGTGCTTGTTTACCATTTTACCCACGAGTCAAGAGGAAACTAAAGATCAAAATGATTTAACCTTTAAATCGAATCAATTTATCATCTTATCCTTAATTTTGTTCAATGAACAACAAACTTGATTTTATCTGAATCCATCATCAGGCCAGCATAATTTACTCTTTGTGTCTAATGATGATGATGATGGAATCAACAATAAGTATTCAAATTGTCTCAAGTGCTATTGTGCTAAGTACCTTTGATGGACATTATTTCTCTCTTCTTTTCTCCTCTTTTTCTCCTCTCGTTCGGATAAAATGTTCCCTTAATCTAGTTTATGGTTAGAATACTCTTAGGAGACTTGAGGTTCATTAGAAATCTAAATTGGCCCTTAATTAATTGTTTTGTAGTCGTTTACATTCACGGTGGATCAATGGTTTCCCTTTTCGCAATAGCCCTGCCCTTGGTAGAGAAGCTCAACTAATATATTCTTTATTAACATCATCATCATTATCATCAGCAGAGGATCATCAACATCATCAGAATTATATCAAACTAATGATCATCTTCTTGATATTTTTATCCTCATATTGACCCAGCCACGCCTCAGAACTAAATAATAAAGGATGAAAGGCTATTTAATGTCTTATAATGTGATACAATTGTTGTTGTCTTTAAGATGCTAAGTATTTGCACCTACAAACAAAAGTTAATGTTATGGTCACTCACGTTAAAACAAGAGGTGGTAACATTAAGTTTCCCTTATAAAAGATCCGCTATCATAATAACTGAATCGTGATTTCATCTCATCAATTGTTAATCATTTTCTTGGTTTCTTTTTTTCGGCAAAAAACTGGATGAGATTAAGTTGATTGTGATACTGTGTTGAAGTTGATAATGATGTGGATAAGAACAAGGAGAATATGATTAAGGAGAAGCAGAAGTGGGAGGAGGAGGAGAGGAAGGGTACCTGAGAGGTGGACAAGAAGGAGGATAAGGCGGTTGACTTGGTGGCAAAGACTAACCTCTTATACTGACCGCCTCTAAAGTTGAACAACATTATCATCATTATCATCCTCATCTTCATAATCATCATATTCAAACATCATCTGTTAACTATGATTACATAGATAAATATAAATATAGATCCGTGTAATTGTCAATTTAACAAGCTTCCGCCTAATTGTTACTTCATTCAACTCAATTGAACGTTAATCATGCCAACCCTAATCATCAATGGATTCTAATTCATCTTCTCTTTCTCTCTCTTTGTTTTACTCAGGTAAACAAGGCCAATCCCTGAAATTTAAGGCCAGTTGAAGGGCAGATCCTCGGTTAGGTGTGCCACAGGTAAAACGAATCCACAAACACTAAAGATACCACATTACACCATTTAGATGATCAGGTAAAAGGTTGATAACGAGCCGTGGAAAGGTGATGTAAGTGAGCGAGATGAAGTTGAATTGTGTTCACGATACAGGCTTCAAATTGGAAACATTGATTGGATGTAAATAAAATATCAGATTAATAATTCGAATCCGATTCCAATTTTTGTGTTAACCCCTGTTGAGTTTTTCTCATTCAATTTAATGGGTGATCTTGAAATCAGAAGCTTCTTAACTCAACAGGGGATCCATTTATTGATCTAGTTTCATTTACTCTGCTTGTCAATCACAATATCACACACTTTTGTTTATCTATAACCTCAGTTAGTTAACTTAATTGTTTCAATTAAATCCACTCAGTGCAACGAAAACTTTTTTATTTGTTTAGATGGTCAATGTACTAAACCAACAACTAAATTGTGACTAACTTAAAGTTGTTGTTGTTGTTTGGATAATCTGAAAAGAGAATAAGATGAATTTTATTTACACAATAAATGGACATTGATCGATACTCGAACTTTAACAATGGACTTACAAGATAATCCGCTTTCTCTCTTCTCTCTCTTCTCTCTTTTCTCGTTTTTTTCTTTTCTTCTTTTCTTCCTCATCTTCCTCTTTGACAGATACAAAGTTACTAAGTTGTATTCAAACAAATGCCTTTTTCAGCCCTTTTAATACCTTGTGTTCAAATGGTCAAAAAGATAACATCTACTTCACTCTACCTATGGTGTGTCTCTATAAGTGGTCCTAGTGCTCGTTTTGTGTGGCCTCAAAATCAAATTATACTCGACAAAACAAACAGACGAGAAGGTGAGATCCAGTGACTCCATCTAGCAGATTTTAAAATCATTTTCTCCGATTGAGATTATCAAGTTTGTCAGATTAGTTGAAACTAAAGGTCGAATACTGATTCTGATTCAATTTGATTCGAGTTTACAATAAACTATCAACACCAAAATTGGAAATAGCAAGAAAGAAAATGAATGAGTTTGATCGAGAAACAGGTAAAATAGAAAGTGATGATTCTCAGTTTGATCATTATTATCAAGTCGATCCTTAATCTTGATAATACAATCACGATTCCCTGATACTTGAATCATTGAAAGCTTCAGGTTGTAAGAGTGGGCCAATTGTGAGTTTTTTCGGACAACAAATCATTGTTTTATTGTTCCTATAAAACTGTTTTGAAATAGCCGCAAGTTATTAGATAGAGTCAACAACTAGGGAACAGCAATCATCATGCTAGTTTATAAATGATAACGATAATCATGATAACAATTGAACTTTTCTTTCTCATCTTTGTTTCGGTTTGAACTCTAATACCATTATTATTAAATAGAATCATTAAAGTACGAAACTTACTTCTTCTTTGTAGAGTTGAGCAATCACTTTTTCTCAATATTCTATCATCATATTATCTCACCTTTTTCATGATAATTCACAATCTCGATCTCAAAATCCGTTTTCAAGTTAAATCCTTCAATTATTCAAATACTCATGTTTTCTGCTTCTCTCATGATACCCATTCCATATCACCGAAACTTTCAATCAATGAAATTGAATCATTTAGTTGATTTCATCTACTTTTCAATCTAATCTGAGCAATCAAAGCGTTGATTTTGATAAACTTTATAACATGAATGAAGTAACTTTCAATTTGTGATTGGGATAAATTAACGGTTTAAAGTGTAAATTTATTGTATCAACAATTATCACGAACTAATCAACACTGAATATTTAACCAGCAATTTAATCTAATCTCGATTAATGGACAAAGATAATGATTATTATCCATTGACAACTTGGTTAGAATCAATGTTATCAAGATGAGCGAAATTGCTTAACTTCAATTAAGTTGTTTATCAATTAGATTTAAATGTAATCAGCTAATTATCACTTGATTTGTTTTAAACATAATCACTTAGGATGCCTTTGTGTTTCATGTCTAAAAACAATTAGATTTGATTGCTTGTTAAATGCGATGAAAGGTTAATTAAGGTGATGAAATACAACCAAAGAAAGTGAGAGATTAATCAAATGATGATTACAATTGATAAATAACTTTCACGATTATCACGAAACCCTTTAGTCTATATGGATTTAAGTTAATCTAACAAGTAAATTAAAGACAAAAGGCAAATGATAAAATTGAAAAGTTAATCAACAATTCAAATGATAAAGTAAAAAGAGATTGAATCGCTCACGTCCAAAGGTTTTTATTAGATGTTGAGCACGTTTTTAAATGTAACTAAATGATCAGAATTAAGTTTAATCATGAAAAATGGAATATGAAATTCGATAATTGTTATTGGTTAATTTGTATCTTATTCGTGTGCTGAGAGTGCGAGAGAATAGAAACAAAACCAATGGAAAAAAGTTGGTGTTGAGAGAGAACAACAAGATACGTGCTCATCTGCTTAAGGAATTAAATTGGCGATTGCGGCGAACAGAATTGCACGATTTACGAAGGAATGATTATCATAAGAATAATGATGATGATGATGATGAAAAGTTAATTGTAAATTGAGAGTAAGAGAGTAATAAGGTATTTGAGATCAAGTCCAAATGAAACAAGGCGTTGAAATGAAGCTAAACTAATGTTTGCTCTGTTAATTTGTTGTTATTTTAATGTGATTCCCAAAAATGGCAGGTTAATATGTTTCTCTTAATATTGAGTGAAAAATGTTTAATACCAAACAAAAAGGTAAAGGTAATCGTGATAGTCCCTGGGGCAATATTAAAGGTTCCAACATGTTAATGACTATGATGATACTTTGCTAAGGTGAGGCTAAAATCTTTTACTTTCTCAATCTAGTTACATATAAAAACAAAATACTCAACAGGAAACAGCTTCTTATGAGTTGCTAAAGGAAGAGAGAGAGAGAGAGAGAGAGAGAGACGTGAGATGACCACGAATTAATCGGCTTAATGAATGGAATCATGATAATAATGAGATGAGAGTAATTATAAAGTTAATCAAGAATTGATTGTGATTATAAAAAGTGTTAAATAGAAATGAAATTGCGTTGAGATTGATTAGATTGAGAAGGAGCGGTTTCACTATGAACATGATTCACTTTCAAAGAAATCAACGAATCTCAAATTGTTACGCATCTTTCATCATCTTTATGGTTTTCGTTGTGTGGGTTTGTTTTGTTTCCTATTATTGTGATGAGTGATGATGAAAATTAGTTAGTTAATTGTAATTAACAAGATATTTCTCACCTCACCTTCTCAATTTATCTACGAGCAACAGTGTAAATTAAACTACAATTGCTTTTCATCAACATCAACTATTTCGTGTTAATCATTATAAATTTAATTTAATCCATTTAGAGATTAGCATTTTTATTAAATACTAATCAATTTAATAAGTTACTTTTGTCTTACCTGTTTCACGAACACACAAATACAAACACTTGCAATTCAACAGTTGATTTGAAATATTGTAAGAAAATATGATGTTTACTTCGCCTCAGGGCTTATTGAACAAAACTAATTGCCAATGGATTTCGTAGTTGCAACAACATGATGATGATTAGGATAAGGATGAGGATAGAATTAAGTGATGAGAAGGGGAGGACTTCGTTAGCACTCAAGGAGTAAATTGAGCATCGCCTCATCATCTTTTTTCTTCTTTTCTCTTCTTCTTTTTCAAGCTTCTTCATCTTCCTCTTGGCCTCATTTATTCAGATTAATATTGGAACTGCAATGGAGGTCTTTACTCATTATCTAATAATAATTGAAATTCCCATCAAGTTAACATGAAATATCATTAATTATATTTCAATTTCTTGATATTAATATGAGTGAATCGGTAAACTAGTTGATTCAATATTGTTGTTCAATTTTATTTCAATTTATTCTTGATTAACTTTCCCATTCAACGTTAAGTATGATGATTAACTGATGTTAATTAAATAAGTAATTTACTATTTTCTTGGTGGTAGTTACAAATTAATTAATATATCTGGTTAATTGGAAATTAAAAGCAATACATTTGGTAACAATTAATTTAAGATGAATATTAATCGTATTTAAAAGCTTACAATTTTCTCGCTGTGATTCTCGATATGTCACATTTTTAAATTACAATCAGTAGATTACTCAATAGGAAAGATTAACAATTAAGATTATTCTCTTTATCATTAGAGTTTCATGATCATGAGTCTATTTGAATAAATTTGCTATGAATTGATGAGCAACCAATTAATTGATTAGAGCTCTTGATGGTTAATTAACCATAAACGAGTCAATAGTCTCATTAGTATCAAACTTAAGATAATGATTAGAAATTTCCAATTGATTTACAGAATTGATCATTAACCATCTTAAGTTGTTACAAAGTAAATGTCCCAATCCATTGGGCAACAATCATCAATAAATTGATTGTTTATATTTCTCGATAATGAAAAATACATTAGATAAAATAGCCTTGGATAAATCGCCTAAAGGGCAACACGTTAAAGAGTTTTTCTTGATACTAAATTAATTGTGATAGATCTGATTGACTGTTATTATGATTATTATTTTACTCTAATTATGATTAATCGATGGTCAACTGAATCCACTCTTTCATCAGATCATTTTTAATCATTAATCACTTGGAATAATCGTTAAATCCATTAAATTGCAATGTAATCAAGTATTTTGTTTATTTGTTATTCATTAACGAAAGCAGACTTACAATTCAAATAATTATCTTGTCATCATCATGATAATCATCCTAAATTTAATCAGTGATATCAATATGTAATTCAGTTCAACTAAAAGTGTTTTGTTCAGTAAGATTATTGAAACATTGTTACCTGTTATCTGAACATCAGGTTACATTTAATATATTTCTAATCGATCTTAAAACGAGGTCACAATAGTGTCGATAATTAAAGTTCATGTCAATGGTCAAGTTAACAAACTAATCGAGTAAAAATCAGTAGAGTCCACACCTTTTTGTCGATTAATACAATACAAACAATTAGATTGGTACAGTTCAATCAACTAAATAGTGGAACGATTTGCACTTAAAAAATACTCCATGAATGAATTTACGTTCACTCGTATTTATAATGGTTTTTGATGAATTTTGTAATTTATTCATTTTCTTGTCAGATTAATATTGATTGAAGAGGATAAGACGTGAAGATGTGAATATGAATATGAAACTATTTTGATTATGATTGAACATTCTCGCAATCAGAAGACCACCAAAGACTTAGTACCATGTATTTTATTATCATTGTGCCTCGAGCAAAATTGATCCATATTACCATGTGTTGAAATGTTGAGCCAAACCCTCCTTGATAATTATGTAAATGATAACTTTTTTTGTTTCTTTCCATTTCTAATAACTTATAGTGTTGAAAATGATAATTATCATGATTATCAGAAGATTCACTTCAACATTTGCTGTATCATGTAACTTATAATGGAGATAATCAAGAGGATTTAGGGAGATGAGGAAGATGAGGGACATGTTGGAGCGAAACACGCACGCATTTCATTTGTTAGTGATAAAGTTGCGAGGGCGAGGATTAATCAACGAATTAGATAGTTTAAGATAATAAAGATTAGCTTCTTTGATTGTTTGCATGATAATCTTTTGTTTAACTGATGACCCGTGCTGAAAGTGCTCTCATAATCAAATAAACAATCATGGTGATAATTTAAATTATGTTGAATGAAATGATGAAATATTGAGTTAATGTTGACAAACTAATTGTTTCAGGTGAAGTATTGATTGTTTACTTTCTCGAGCAAAATTGTGATCTAATAATTAAAGCAACTAATTATTGTCATCGGCCATTGACCATTACAATAAAATGGGTTTGGTCAACTTTTAAAATACAATTTACATAATTGAATGTCTTCAGGCTAAGAATTTAGTTTTGTAATTATTCATGATTATACCTTGATGATTATTGGTCATTATCCAATTTTTTCAATGAGAGTTAAGGTTGGGAGATACAGAACATGATTAACTTAATTCATTTCAAATACTATGGAAAATGATTAAAGTTTTATTAATAGAGAAAAGTAATCAGATTATCATCACATTGAACTAGTTTGATACATGAAACTCAATTGAGTTTCACACCAAAAGAGAAAATAAAAGTTATCAACAAAGTTTCAGTTACCCTGTTGTGTAAAATGGTTAGAAATTTGATTTATTACTGTAAACGGCCCACCTTATATCAAGTTTCAACAATATTATATCGAAAATTACCTTTAATTGTCAATTACCAAAATTTTTGTTTCGATTTTCAATTGATTCTGAGGCAAATTTCACTTAAGATTAATATCGTAATCAGATGAAAAAATACAATTAACATCATTTGTCTTTATAACACCTAATTGTTTAATATCTCATTATTTAAGACCAGGATGATTGTTAATCTAATTAGATGGAATCATTAATATCCTATTTTATCCAACCATCCAAACCCAATGTCCAGATGAGTTATTGTTGCATCCAGTTGGTCAAGTAATACTAATTAGATTATTTTGATGACACAATTAAAAGATATTATCAAAAGTTTACAATTAATCAGAAAATGGTTGATTGATTGAAAGTTTTGAACAATCAGATTTGTTGCATTGCAAAGATTGATGATTAAGACAAATTAGTTTCTCTATTTAGCAGTTTAATTCCAGGAAAAGACAATTAAACTTGTCCTTTTATCTGTTAATTGTAATTCCCCTCAATGTGTTTCCCTAATCATCCATTTTACTCTCTCACTGACATTTATTATAATTTTCTTTTTCCTCAATCAGAGCTGATTTTCATCATTGGCATGATTAATATTTAAACATTAACATCACTTTACCATTTATGAGATAATTATGATTTGGTTACAACATTTACCTTTAATATTAATAATTTCTGTTTCTTGTATTTTAATTGTTTCAATTAATTCTGAAGATTTAGTCAATTCAACTGAGCCTTCAATCGGAACTGTGTTAACAACATCAGTCATACAAATTAATTCAACTGAACTAGTTGATGGCTCTTTTGACGAGGACGAGGAATCAACTGATCAATTAGATAATTATTTCAATGATACGATAATTCACTCAACATCAACATCAACATCAACAACCCCATCACCTGATCAAGGTAATTTCATTTTCTGATTATTTCATTTACCTTAATTTAAGGTCAAGTTTTCATTATTTTAAGCAATTACAACAAATAAAGTCCAATCACTAATTCCCAATTGTTTATCTTGATAGTCAACAGTTTTTCTGATCTAATTTGCTTTCAATTGTTGTTTATTTATTTTAACTGATTTTTGCTTCACTGATTTTTTAAAAGCCATTTGTTGATATTGATTGATTATGACAATAGATGATAATTGATTTGATTGGGTGTTCATTGCAATTCAATGAAACTATTGTTTCTCATAGCCTGAAATTCAAGGGTAACAATTAACAGGAAGCCTAAGCTAAACCTTTCGAGATTAATTGTTAGATAAAATCGATTCAAAATTGAATCAACTAGTTGATTGTGATAATTTGTCTACCACAGACTCAATGCTAGAATAAATTGTTTCCATTTGTATTAACGTTAAACTTTTCTTTTGTATCTGTTGACTGTAGTTATTTTAATTAAACCGAGTTTTGATCATTTCAACGGGATCTGGAAGAACTGGTCAAAGTGTCTTTACGACGCTTGTTTCGGTTGTCATGCTAAGGCTTGTCCATTCTGTACACCGACAATTGAAAGATGTACCATTAATTTGAGAGAGACAATTAATCCCTATTTATTAACCACATTAACGTACGTAATCTCAATTTCATGTTTAATCAATCATTCAGTTTGCAAGTTGATTGTTAACAACTCATTCTTGACTAGGAATCTCATTTGATTGTTATGAGCATTTGTTACAGTTGTTTGACAATTAATGGTACAATTTAATGATCCAACAGCAGCCATTAATTAATACAATTAAACTCAAGACTGATTCAAGTTTCATGTTAATTTCAGACAAAACAAAACAGAGACCATTGAATCTTCATCTGGAAATGTTACAATTCATGATGAATCAACGTGACAATCAAAATGTTCCAGAATCTTTGCTGATATTTACACATTCGTTTATAATTGTGAGCATTTATCTGTACAATGATTCGTTTTGAAACAATTAAATATTTTCATTTTCTCTAAATTTTTGTTAATCACAAATTCCAATTGTTTGTAATTATTGATCAATCATCATTCTTGTCTAAATAATGAAAACTCGACCTTTTCGACAATTTTTAATATTTCAATTACTTAAGATCACCTTGCGAATGTCTAATTGTTTCCATAGAAAATCCACTCGAAGGAACCATCGAGTATATTGATTACCTTTGGTCTAAATTGTTGAAATGTGGTTACGATACTTGTTTTAATTGTTTCAAACAAGAATGTACTTGGTGCACATCCAAGGCTGAGAATTGCATGAGATTAGCCGGTGAAACGATTTGGCCCATGTTGTTATCGACACTGAAAAGGTAAAAAATTCAATTGAATTGAGTAAACTAGCGATTAACTAATGGCACTAATTTTGCTACAGGGAACAGTTACCAGTTGATTTCGATCCACCAACACCAATCAAAGCTAAAGTACAAATTGTAAAGGTCAATGAAACGAGTTCAACAACAATCAAATCAACTAATAGCTCAACAGAAATGGTCGAGATTACAACCACAATTAAACCTAACGATCTCATTTAACAAAGTTGAATTTGTTTGATGATTTTAAACGCTGATTGTACAAACAAACCAAATTTACATTTTAATCTTTAATAAACAATTATGGTTAATAACAAGCTAATTGAGTCGATTTAATTCAACCAAAAATCAAGCAAATATGAAAGACTGAAAATACTTCAGATATTTATATTATTGTAATTAGCAAGTTGATCAAATCATGATGAATGAATCGCAATTCGTAAGATAAAAAAATATGATTAATAAGCAAATTATATTATGAATTCAATCATTGACTGGCTGTGAGTGCATGTGAATTGAATAAAGTTTTACTAATTAATCAACACGAAAATGAAATGATGAAAATCATTTGTCAATTTGAGCCGTATGATCAACTGTGGAGAATCAATTATCAACCCATTGTGATAATCACAAGTAGTCCATGTTATCAGATTGGACTTGATTGCTGTTGATGTTTTTAAACTTAGTATCGACTTGGAAATGACTTTTTTCATGAACTCTAAGATTATCTCGAGTTCCAAATCTTTTTGAACATGAACTACATTGGAACGGCTTTAATCCCGTGTGAACAGACATGTGCCTTTTCACCGTCGACTTTTGGCTAAATCGACGACTACACAAGTTACAACTAAAGGGTTTCTCTCCCGTGTGAATCCTTACATGTACCTTCAGCCTTTCTCGGTCAACGAATCTCTTTTCGCAGTAGCCACAAGGAAAAGGTCGTTCTCCTGTATGTGATCTGATGTGTCTCTTTAATGAATTAAGTTGCGTGAATCTTTGAGCACACATCGGACATCGATTCTCTTTCACTCGATTGTTTACTTCTTTATTGGCTGTTGACGGACTGGCATTCGAACTTGGCACTGAAACAGAATTGTTGTTTGTAAAATTATTTCCAATCGAGTTGTTGATTGTCTTAAAAGGTTCGTCCTGACTATCGCAATCCTGTCTCGAACTGTGGCCTTCATTATCATTGCTCATGTTAAAACTGGTGTTTGAATTGCTATTGCTGTTTCCATTGTTACTATTGCTATGGATTTTCACTATGTTGTTTGTGTTACAAGTTGACGTAGTGGTGGCGTTGCCTGTGGCTGTGCTTGTGGCTGTGGCTGTGGATGTGGTTGAAGTGTTGGTGTTGGTGTTGTTTTTGATGGTGGAACCTGTTGAATTGTGGCAGTTAGAAGTAGATTTGTTTAAATTATTATTAGAGACTCCAGCTCTTATGGTCAAGTTGATTGTTTGATCTGATATATAGCTAGAAGTATGTTTTATTGTTGTACCGATGAATTGATTGGGGTCGACTGGAACTACCATTGAGACGGGATTGTCTGCTTTTGTATCTGCTACCTTTGTATCTTTCGGTTTATTATCCTTATAATTATCATCTTTAAGAATTAGATTGGCGAGGATCCTAATTAAGAAAATTAAATTAACAATTAACATAAATTTTATCCATATAAATACTCACTCTTGTTTAACCTCCTCTCGGAGAGATTCGTCTCTCTCAATTATCTTGGCTTCTAATCCAGTTAATATCGAATGTAATTTGATGAACAATGAATTGATATCCTGTTTAAATTGTTTACTTGATAATTTCACTGACATGTTGATTTCTTCATCAATTATTCATAATAACAATGAAAAAACAGAAAATGTTAATAATCAATAATTTGAGAGACAATTACAATACATAGAAACTAATTCACAGAGAGAAACGATGATAAAGACACATAAGTAAATGTAGGAGAGCAAACAGAAAGATGTGAGAGCCTTGAGTGTAACAATCAGTCAATTACTGATTACAATCTCTCTCATTGGTTACCAGTTACATTGATAAACAAAATGATTAGCAAACATCAGTTTCATTAATCTCTTTTCGCCAACATTGAGTTTAAACGCATTGATAATTGTTGATTCCTGAGATCATCATTTTCAACAATTAAACCGAAAACACTTGATTAATTGGTAAGAAATTAGAAGATCGTAAGCAAAATATATTTTAGAAGAAAATCAATAGGAAACAACAGTTGTACCAAAATAAATTAATTGTATAAAGAAACAGGACAGAGTCTTGAAAAATTGATTGATAATTTAGAGCAAATGTCGTCAAGTTGCAAATTGGATTCAACATCAGGCTAAAGTTGCTCTTTGGTGCATAGGCAGAGAAACTGTTTCGATTCCAGCAAATTTGTTGTAACTGAAAAGGAAAAAAGAGAAAAATTGATTAGACTCAATTAGTGAGATGCATTCAACTTACATGTAACGATATTCGGCTCGTTTTCCAGAGTCAATGCAAGGCTTTGTTTTAGTTGTTGCAGATAAAACATGATCTTCATTGATTGTTATCTTCATTACTCCATTGGGTAGATTTGGAATACATTTTGTTTCATGCTCTTCGATTGCTTCGTACTGTGAGTTTATAAGTAAGGCTCTTATATCAGCGCCAGTGAAGTTCTCAGTCAATTCGCCGATAATCTCATGATTGAAGCTCTCATGAAAGCTTAGATCTTTTCCTAGAACTTTCCAAATATCCAAACGATCAGCAGTTGAAGGGAAATCACAGCAAATATATTTATCGAATCTACCAGGACGTAAGAGCGCTGGGTCAAGAAGGTCGGGTCTTGAAGTCGCGGCAATAGCATAAACACCTTGTTCAATCACTTCAACTCCATCCATTTGTGCTAATAATTGATTTACAACTCGATCTGTAACACCAGTTGAATCTTGTCCTCGACGCGGAGCCAAAGACTCGAATTCGTCAAAGAAAATGATACATGGTTTCGCAATTGCTGCTCGTTCAAATAATTCTCTGATGGATTCCTCACTTCTTCCAATGTATTTTGACAGCAATTCAGGTCCACGAATTTTTATCAAATTAACTCTACTTTCACTGGCTAGCGCCTCGGCAATCAAACTCTTCCCCGTTCCTGGAGCTCCGTAAAGAAGTATGTTTCGTGGTGGACGAATTGGACATTTACTGAATAATGTTGGATATTTAAGAGGCAGAAGAAGAGTATTTCGTAATAAATTTTTGACCTTCGTTAACCCACCGATATCCCTGAATGATATTCCAGTGCTTTTTTCAATTCTTATATCGGTCATCATTGTTGGACGAAAGAGTTGCAATGCATGCTCGAAATTTTCCAGTCCAATCTCATCAGACTGATTTAGAGTGACTTTATTGTGAATCGCTGAATCCACTAAATTTAATAAATCAGCAATTAAATATCCTTCACAACGGTAAGAAATTTGATCGAGCCAAGAATAACTGCTAATTAGATTGACATGATGATTTAGAAAGCTTTGGATAATTCGTTTTCTCTGTTCCGAATTAGGATTCTCCAATGAAATTGATTCTGAGAAAATGCTCCTTCCTCTGATTGGTAAGAGAATCTGATTTAGAGACGATTGGGATGTACACGTTGCAACGATTGCGATTCTCTGGCCAAACCTTATATTGAGCTCGTCAAATGATTTGATAATAGAAGAAAATATACACGAGGCTCGAATAGACGCAATGGTATCAACTCCTGGAACCTCTTCCACCCTCGAAATATGAGGTGCGACTAGATCAAGCCCTTCGAATATGAGGACCGAGGGTTGAGAATAAATACATTCAGCGATTTGAGTAATCCATTGTTTCTTCAGTGATGAGATTGTTTTCCATGAACCACATTGAATTGTCTTGATGAAAACACAGGATATTTTTCGAAGTGAGTTCCATTACATGTTTTAGAAAACAAGTTTTGCCGCTTCCTTTTGGTCCGTGGACCAATAAAACGTTCTAGCGAACGAAGTGTTCTCTTTAATCGAGCCATCGGGAATCAAAATACGATCTAAAAATTCAACAGCTGAGGCTAATTCTTTTTCCATCCAGGGTATGAAAGGATAAGGAAGATAAACGGTAAGTTGGTCACTTTGCATTTCCTTATCGTTGAGTTCAGGTAGTTTCATCAACGGCACCCGTTTACCCCAACTCGTTGATATTCTGCTGAAACTGGTACTTTTCACGCGAATATCGATTTTTTCTAAAAGTTTTTCATTGATCGGTGAACAGGAATCTTCTGGGTCACAGGCAACAATGAAATTCTGTCCACCAATATCGATACACGATCCTCGACAAAGAATCAAAATCTTATGTTTTGAGACATAAGACTTCAAACTGTTGCGTATCAATTCAGTAGATGAAGTTGTTTGCACGCTAATTGGACAAACGTAAAATGTTTCCTTCGTAGGGATTGTTAAACATGAATTGTCCGAATTTACAAAATGTCTCGATTTGTGACGACGAAAGAAAATTTTACAATTGAAAGATAAGTCCAATTGTTTCCTCAAGTTATCACTCACAAAGGCACAGGACATGGGACATTCGGAATGACCTCTGACCAAAGTGTAAGTACCTAAAAATAGATCCTCTTCAGATGAATCGATGGTGTCAATTCTTTTACAAATGTCGGTGTTTTTCTTCAGTTCATTTCTTTTGGCTTTTTCGCATGGAGGTAGAAGTTTGTTCACAATTAAAACTCCATATTCATCTTTTGATAAGTTGAATTGACTTGAATTTACCCAAATAGTGTTGAGAGTTGAGTTGACCTCCAAGTTGCAAGGAGCAGATGAAACATTGAGGATTGTTTTCAAAACAGAATCGTCAATATTTTTACATTGGATCGAGTTAACTATTACCGAATCGACAGCATCTTCCGCTTCGTGTTTTGGTGCATTGAAGAAAGGAATTAGGCCCATAAATTTATACGCAACTGACGACACTTTTGAAGACTCATTGATATCATGGCCAATCTCAACGAGAGAATCCTTTACTAGCACCGAAAACCCGACACTTGGGTTGATTTGGGTAACCTTGAAAAAGAAAACATCATTGGATGAAGTCCAAAAAGGAAAAACTAGATCAGGATAAATAACACGAATTTGGTCTAAAATATTGTTCGTCATTTCATCTCGATAGCTGTCAATGCCAATTCCTTTCGGTTCGATTAGAGTTAAATTGCAACGATGACATTCGGGGGCTTTTTCTTTGATGAATTTCACTGATACCAATGAACCGTTGATCAAACCCAATTGATTTCCTAAGGCTTGAGGGAAATGAATAACCTCAGAGCTTTTGTCGTCATGGCCAATCGCAGTAAAATAGTTCAGTCTATTAACTTGACCACCAATTGTGACTTTTATGATGCATAACTAAAAAAACAAGAACGTCAATTAATTCATAATAATTTGTGATCATTAACTCACCGGTTGATTGAATAATAGTTTCCTGTTAATTTTGACGAAACAGTTTTGACTTTCGATTAATTTGACAAGCAAGAAATGTGTGTCATCCATTTGAGATTCTTGGACAATCAATTAACTAAAAGGAAAAAATGTCCGAAATTGGTCCGATCAACTTGAAAATCTCATTGGTTAAAGTCTTAATTACATTTATTTGCCAATAATTTATAACACTGATTAAAGGTCTGTATCTGTTTATTACATTTCGATGAGATGTTTAAAAACTAACCAACAACTAATAGATCATCTTTAATCTCGTATTGTGGTACCTCTAGATTGGCTGGAGCTGGGCCTTTTCTTATTCTACCGGAAACATCATAGTGAGACCCATGACAAGGACAATAATAACCACCAAAATCACCAGCGTTTGAGATGGGTACACATCCAAGGTGCGTACACACTCCGATTACAACGAGCCACTTGGGATCTTGAGTCCTTTCCTCGTCAGCCTGTGGATCTCTGAGCTCGGAAATATTTGTCTTTTTAGCCTTTTCGATCTCTTCAGCTGTTCTGTGACGAATAAAAACTGGTTTTCCTCGCCATTTAGCAACAATATTTTTACCTTCGGGAATTTCATTCAATTTTATTTCAATTTTAGCCAAAGCCATGACATCCTTAGATGGGAGCCAAGTCTCAGCAAGACCTCTAACAATACCTTTACCTATCAAAGCACCACCAACGGCAAAACCAGCAGCCATACCATAAGTTGTAGCTCTTCGAGCATCAACTGAGTCTTTAGCTCGAGAAGTTGGATCTTGGGTAGCCTTCTGACGGACATCAGTGAAATCAGGTACTTTGATATCAGTGTGAGCCAACCTTATTTGACTTAAGCCTAAAAGAAATTAAAAACAAAAATATATAGAAAATTTATTCTGCAACAGTTAGAAAATTGTGTCTATTTACCGTTGATAGATAGTGACACAGCCGAGATTTTTTGTCCAATGCTTTGGGAGGAAAGGGATGAAATTGACCATCGATTTGAGTTCTCAGGTACATAAGTATTTTCATGATTACAAAGAACAGCCGGACCAACAGATTTCACTGCAACAGCTTGAGTTGTTGCCTTGATGAGAGAGGAGAAATTGACGGGGCGACTAACAACTGAAAGCATTGTAGATGATTATAATATTTAACAACAATTAAAGAAGGAAAAACAATTGATTAATTAATTTGTGATTTAATTAAACGAATCGCAAATAAACAAACAGAGACCAGAAAATGTAACTTCCAATGTCACCGTTTCTCTCGACGAGGTCGCTAGTCGAGGCTCGGGGGCCGTCGAGCAATTACGCTTCTGTCTGATCTGGTGAATTTTAGGTCAGAATAAAACAAAAAGAAAATGTTTCCATTGTTTATCTCTAATTAAGTGTCAATAATCAACAATATTTAAGGTTTAATTAAACAATCAATGTTCATTATTAGAATTTAACGAGATGTTAAGTTTCCATTGTTTCTTTTCCATTGTCGCTTTTTGTCTTTTCTCTGATTCTGCTCTCATTTTAATGCAACACCTTCTTCTCTTGTAAACACTTGGTGTTACTCTAAATCTATAGAGACATTAAGACATCATTTTCTCAATTGTTTGTACTTCATTTTAAATGGTTCTTATTAATAATTATTCTTTCAATTGCTATTTTTAGTTTTAATTGCCAACATTTCTGTCAATTGATAGACATTGTGTTCAGTGTTTTCGAACCGTTTTCACCTTTTAAGTTACCCCACAACATTACCCTAAAGCCTTGAACAGTACACAAGTGTGAGCTCATTATGAGTTCTTCTAATAAATCTCAACGGAAGGACAGAATGAGGATCAGAGCTTTCCCAGTAAGTGTTATTTATCTTTAATTGAGACCATCTATTTACCATTGGTGGCTCTCTTCTTCGACCTTTGATCTACCAAAGAAAACCACATAATTTTCACTTGATTCCATTTCTCTGTACTGCCACTATATCATTTCTTTTTCTCATATCTTCAACATTGATCCTTCTTTCTTCCTTGTCTAACAACCATCCTTGATTAACTCTCAATTCATTGGTTTCTATTTCCATCTATTTCTCTCACAGACCGTAATGGATGAAAGGTTTGTCACGGACATTTGGGCTACTCTGAAAAATGCTATCCAGGAGATTCAGAAAAAGAACAACAGTGGACTTAGTTTTGAGGAATTATATAGGAATGCGTACACTATGGTCCTTCATAAATACGGCGAAAAGTTGTACAATGGATTGAGACAAGTTGTTCAAGATCATCTTGACAATAAGGTACGTGGTGATACAATAATCGATCCAATATTCATCTTAATTATATGCTCATCTTGCCCTTTATTCTCACTAATCCGACCGTTTTCATCTCCCTACTTCTCCAGGTCCGTCAAGATGTTCTTGCCTCAATTAATAACAATTTTTTAAAAACATTGAATCAAGCTTGGAATGACCACCAGACTAGTATGGTCATGATTAGAGATATTCTTATGTATATGGTGAGGATTTATCAATCTATACTTATATGTATCTTTTTATCGCATTTCTAATTTCAACTATTCTCCTTTCTTTTAGGATCGAGTCTACATTACCCCAAATAGAGTTGACAGTGTTTATAACTTGGGTCTTAATCTATTTCGTGACCATGTAGTTCGTTATGGATCAATACGAGATAATTTGAAAGAGACACTTTTAGATATGGTCATGAGAGAAAGAAGAGGAGAAGTTATTGTCAGGTAAACATTTTCTTTCTCACTTTATTCCAGTTGAAATCTCTTTTACCGTAGTCTCAAAGAATTTTCATCTTTCTCTTCTCTCAGATCTGCTGTTCGAAATGCATGTCAAATGCTCATCAACCTTGGTATCGATTCTCGAAGTGTCTATGAAGAAGACTTTGAAAGACCATTTCTTGCTCAATCGGCCGAGTTTTATCAAGTGCGTCTTATTTATCAAGACTTTATTTTGATCTATATTAATATTGTTACTTTCTTCAAAACAGCTTGAGAGTCAGAAGTTTCTAGAGGAAAACAGTGCATCAGTTTACATAAGGAAAGTCGAACAGAGAATAAACGAAGAAGCTGAACGAGCTAAACATTATCTCGATGAATCTACGGAAGCTCAAATTGTTGCCGTTGTTGAAGAAGAGCTGATCTCCAAACACATGAAGACCATTGTGGAGATGGAGAATTCAGGGGTTGTACATATGTTAAAAAACCAGAAGACACAAGGTTAGATGAATTGTAGAGATGTATCGTTTCTTTGTTTACTAATTATTCTTCTCTATTTGTTCAGATCTTGCTTGTATGTATAGTTTACTTCGCCGTGTTAATGGTGGTCTCCAAGCGATTCTTGCCTGTGTCAGTCAATACTTGATAGAAGAAGGTAAAAAATTAGTCATGGAAGATGAAGGAGGAAAAACTGATGCTATCACCTTTGTCCAGGTAATAAAATTGTTCTCTCTCTCTCTCTCTATTGATCTTCTAACGCTTATGACATTTTTTTTTCATCTATTTTCAGTCATTATTGGAACTTAAAGATCGATTTGATACATTTTTAGTTGGGTCATTCAGCTCGGATAAAGAATTTTCAAAAATGATAGCTAAAGACTTTGAATATTTTCTCAATTTAAATCCTAAATCACCTGAATATTTATCTTTATTTATTGATGACAAACTTAAAAAAGGTGTTAAAGGTATGTCGGAACAAGACATTGAACAGGTTCTTGACAAAACTATGGTGCTGTTCCGTTATCTCCAAGAAAAGGATGTTTTTGAAAGATATTATAAGCAACATCTCGCTAAACGGCTTTTGCTGAACAAAAGTGTCTCCGATGATTCTGAAAAGAATATGATTTCCAAGTTGAAAACCGAATGTGGCTGTCAGTTCACATCTAAGTTGGAAGGAATGTTCAGAGATATAACTGTGTCCACCACTATGATGGAAGAATTTAAAACACATGTACAAAGTTCTAGGGTAAATTCTAAAGTTTCTTCTTGCTCTCAGTTTTCATCCAAGACTCTCAACTGTCAACTTAACCTCTTAATTACTTTTACTTTAGGTTAACTTATTTGGTGTAGATTTGAATGTTCGAATCTTAACAACAGGTTTCTGGCCTACACAATCAACACCTTCTAAATGCAACATTCCTCTCGCTCCGAGAAATGCATTTGAAGCTTTTAAACGCTTCTATTTAGCTAAACACAGTGGAAGACAACTAACACTGCAGCCACAATTAGGGTGGGCTGATTTAAATGCCACTTTTTATGGACCCAAAAAGGAAGATTCTAGTGAGAACAGTTTCATTGGACAACCGACTTCGGTCAGTACAACTTGTAACTTCTATGGAATTAATTCGGACCAATTAGACCCGGGATCGAGTAATGCTGTCAGTACCTCATCTTCTATTGTCAATGCGCCCCTACCACAATCTACTAAATTATCGGTACCAAGAAAACATATTATTCAAGTATCAACTCAACAAATGTGCATCCTGATGCTATTCAATAACAGAGATAGACTAACATGTGAAGAAATCGCCAACGAAACTGATATACCTCTCAAAGATTTAACTAGAGCATTACAATCTTTAGCCATGGGTAAACCAGCTCAGCGTATTTTAATCAAGAATCCTAAGACCAAGGAGATAGGTTAGTATTGATGAGCAGTTTGTTTTTACTCTGTCTAACGTTTTACTTGCTCTTTCAGAACCAAATCATGTATTCTGTGTAAACGACTCTTTTACATCTAAATTACATCGAGTGAAAATCCAAGCTGTAACGGCTAAAGGTGAATCGGAACCGGAAAGAAAAGAAACCCGAAGTAAAGTTGATGAAGATAGAAAGCACGAAATCGAAGCCGCTATTGTTAGGATTATGAAAGCGCGTAAGCGTATCAATCATGCTAATTTAGTTTCAGAGGTAAGTAAATCAAGTCGAATTCAACTTTTCTTTCAATGTCAATTTCAATAACTTTTCTTTTCTTTAAAAAGGTTACTGAGCAACTCAAATCTCGATTTATGCCCAGTCCTGTGATTATCAAGAAAAGAATCGAAGGTCTAATAGACAGAGAATATTTAGCGAGAACTCCTGAAGATCGGTAAGTAGTTGTTTGGGTTCATTTTCATTTTTTTATTCCATTTTGACCTCATTTCACTTTTTTTCTCTTCCAGGAAAGTGTACACTTATGTTGCTTAGGGGTCCCTCCGTCATCAGGCTTCACGATATACTCACTTATATAATTTATGGTACTTTATCCGCACATTTTCCACATCATCAATTCCGTTGGTTCAATGATATTTATTATTGCCTTTGCGAAAATCATCTTTATAATAATTGCGAACCCTTCACCTCAAATCGAACCTTAGACCTGACGATTGATTGCAATACATGATTTAGATGAAGGTAAATTGAGAATTGAAACTATCGACTAACTTGCGCCAATAATGGGAGGTTTCTTGACCATAATGACCAGATATTCCTTCAACATCTTAATTATTAACATGGCTGTTCATCTCAAATAATCACTCGTTTTGAGCACTTATTTAAGCCTTTTTGGAACTTATTTTGATTTCGAAGTGAATATGCTCAACTCATAAATTTAATTAAATGCATTTGGTTTACACATTTTGAGTCTTCTGAAAAGTTTTTGTGCATCTTTCTTGTATATGGACAAGTTTCAATGGAGGAAAACAGTTCAGACTAACCGTTAATTCAATGACTATGAAGTTCTTGGTGAATTCTATTACAGATCTTTCTTCTTTTGGCTTGATGCTATGGATCAATTTTAATCGATAAGCAAATTATTCAGCGAGGAAAAAGACTCGTACAAGAGCTTCCATGAAATTAGACCAAGAAGAAAACACTTTGCTCGAAGGTTGCAGATGGAGTCACGTTATTGGAAAGTCATCAGTTAATTTATATATGGAACTAATTATTAATAAATGCACTCGCCCTTTTGTACTTAAGGAATTTTTCGGCTTTCAAGTCATGAAAATTCATTTTCTCTTTCATCCTTTTCCTCTCGTCTCCATGATTCTTGATACGCTCTCGTTTAAAGTAATCAAAAGGTCCAGTTTCTTCATAATTGCAAATCAATGACAGACTCTTGTAAATAAATAATTGAAACCAATCCAAGTCCAATTCAAATTAAGCTTTACATTGATTTCTGAGGTATTTTGATTGATGTTGTAGTATTTAATTAAAGTTCAATCGATCTGCTTTTTGTTTTCAACCAATACAATCATGTAAATCATCAAAAATCAATCGAAATCAACAATAATCATCTTCTTCTTATATTTGTAAATCATTTTATGATAAATTCAACTTATTTTGTTTAATAAAATTAATTCAAATCCTTCAACAAGTTAATTTGATTTCTCGAATCCGGTTGATGAAACCAGTTAATTAATTTCTAGTTGCCAAAACACTCGACATGAAGCGCAACTGTGCCTTCACTTTTGCTTTTGAAAAAAGCGCAACCGAACATGAGAAACATTTAAAGTCTTTCATTGGTTCTCGTTCTGTTATTTATTTGGTTTAATTTCTAGGAGAAGGTCAGAGCAAGTGAAACTGTAAATCGTACGTTTGACTGACCACAAATTTCAAGTGAATATTTTTGATCAACATTCCAATATAATGGACCCAAACTGCCATGAGAAGTTAAATGCCAGTGACTGTGCCGATTCAAGTGATGCAAAAACCACCGAGGAAAAGATCTGTGATTCTGGTTTGGATGATCGTTTGAAGGAAAACACACCACCCAAGCCTGTGGAGTCCTGTGGTTCAGGACATGTTGTAAAAGTCAAAAGGTCTTCAGTTCCTGATAGAATAGACGAAGTGACGAGAAATAAACTCAAATCCATTTTGAATTCGTGTATTGCTGAAGGAATTGCGAAGATGAGTGACCCTTCTGATAAAGCCCAAGGTATTCAACTGATTGTGCAAAGCTTTGATGCTCGTCTTAAACAGAATACCAAACCGAATATTAAACCTGCGGATGTTCCCGAAGATGAACTCACTCTGAGTCAATGTTTGACTGAAATCAATAGATTGGATCCTGACACATTGTCGTCAGGTGCTCAGAGTGTTGCCTTGCCGCTTAACGACTCCAATCCAGTTGACGCTTCTTCTAGCGGTACTGATACCTTGTGTACTGGAAGCGACGAAATAAACAATCGCACCTCAAGAGAGGATAATGATTCCGATAAACCTCGTCCAGTCGAAATCAAATCAGAATTTGTTGACCAGTCAAATGAATTGGACAAGGTGGATTCTTCCAATGCTCCTGTGACCCATGACGTAATTGAAGACGAAAGATCTAACCATAGCCCAGTTGTGACCCCAAGAAGAAAAACAAGTCGACCTTGTGGAAGTGCCAAACGATCTAAATTAAATACGGTTGACTTTTTAAAGTCAAATCGTAAAATCACAGATTATTTTTCTAAATCAAAAGATGGGACGCCGATCTTTGCGAGTAAAACAGAAAACACTGAATCGGCCTTTATTCTGCCTGCTCTCAAAGGTGACCCTAATTTCTGTATATTTTGTGAGAAAAATTTCGGGTCCAGTTATCTAAAAACTCACTTGACGGAGCAACATGGGATCGACAAAGAATCTATTAGCTGTCGCCCAATTAAGAAGGAGAATCCCAACTAAATTACTTACGATTGACACGGGCCAAACCTTAATACCTTAATAGTCTTTATTGATTGTTTCCTCTTTCAAAACGTGCATGTATTTTGCTTTTTTTATTTTGTATAATTTTCTTATATTTTTGTATTTCTCTTGCGAGAATGACCACCAAGTTGACCCTCAGAAATAGAGTCACTTTGCCCATTAAAATGATGCGTTTCTCAGCTCAAAAACAGTTTCACTTTTTCAAAAAGAAAATCGGTTGACTCGATTCTTTGGTTTAAAGGCCATTTACTTGATCAGCATCGAAACAATTAACTTGTTTCTTGTACGTATTTGGATAAGAATGAAAAAGATTTCAGGAAACTGGCCAACGAAACGAGACGATCGCGTATGGATAAAACTGACGATTTCGGTTAGCTGATAGCGACTTTAATCAGCAATCAATTGTTTAGAAATTGTGAGATTGACTGTCTAATCGGTTGTTTAGTCAATCACTGGAAGAGGAGGGACTCCAAGTAGATTGGTGATCAGATATCAAGACAATTTCCCATAGTGACAACATTGAAAGTGATTTGAACAATCAAACTACATTTTCCTTTCTAAACTCACCACCTCTTTTCCATTCTCTTTCTTTCTTCATTTTTCTTTCTTTTCTTCCTCTTTCTCTTTCTCTCTTTCTCTCAGCCTCAGTTTCACTTCAGTTTGTTGTTGTTCTCCGATATCAACGAAACCTCTTCAATTTCTCTCTTCCTTAGTATCGGGTCAATTCGAGAACATCAAGCTGGACTATTCAAGAAAAGGATCGCCCGTCAAATGGGTTTTCAAAGAGAAATACAATTTGGGTAAGAGTGATGAACAAATTGTTCTAATTGTGTTAATCTTTTCACTGTTTTCAGGTTCATTTCTCATCTAACCTTAACCTGATTTCTTCTTACAGAACAAAGGAAAAAGGAATCGACCGTAATTCGTGAAAAATATCCAGACAAAATTCCGGTAAGAACATTTTCCAGCCTTTCGATTGTTGTTTTTCTCACTGACATTTTGATGACCCGATAGATAATCGCACAGAAATCGCCCAAGTCTCACCTGAAAGATTTGGACAAATACAAACTACTCATACCATATGAAGTGACCGTGGCCCAGTTGATGTACTTACTTCGCGATCGACTCAAATTGACACAGAAAGAATCAATTTATCTCTTCATAGATCGGACTTTGCCACAATCAAGGTAAAAGGGAAACCTCTAGTAAAAAGCGATAACTTATTCATTTTAATCATTTATTTAATTACATGACGTTTGGTATACATGGAATACAATTTTCGGGTGAAAATTGACTTTGCAATCTTGGTTATTCAATCTGGGGTTTTTTCATGTCTCCAGTGCCTTAATTGGTGAGCTTTGGTATCGACATCGGGATGAAGATGGTTTTCTTTACGTCATGTTTAGCGAAGAAAACACCTTTGGAAGTCGCCAAAACTAATTTTCCAGTTTCATTTCCCTTTGAAGTTCAATCGAAAAGTTTTCAATTTTTCTACCTACATTTTTATGATCGAAAATAACAAATAAAAACAACCTTTAAAATCTCAAGTGAATATCTAAAATTTGCCAATTAAAATTAATGATTATGGTCCCTTTTCAGCTCAGTTTATCCTGATGTTTTGCCGATAAAACAATTACATTTGAGATCAATAGAAATGACTTGACATCTCTCTGTGAAAGAAGATACCATGGATTGATGAGGCGGAATATTGCATCTCCTTGATAACACTGATTCAGAGGTATCATGGTAGTTGATTGCGAACTGAATTGTGGTTTACATGATATAGAATTTTTTTGCTTGGATGAGAATGGTTAGAAATTTAGTTAATTCTTTTTGAGCTAACAAAGTAAGCTGAAAAAGTTGAATGGAGGCACCAATAGTTTCTAAAAAAGCGATGTATCTAAATATTATTGTTATGATGATCGACGAAACTTTTATGAATTCAAGTACGGAGTTCTTTGGGTAACATTAATGATATCATTAACACTAGAGAAAAAAAGAAAATTGATAAAATTTCAATTAATAAAAAGTATATTAGATGTTATGACTTTTTGAAATGATAGATACCTTCTACCGTATTTACGATGAATGAAGAAAAAGAAAGCTGATAATGCTAAGCAAATACACCCAACAACAATGTAAGCGATGCCAAGGAATGGATTCTTACCACCGAGCCATGATGTGTTGGATATAATTACTCTTTTTGTCCCTTTAAATGAAGTGACTGGATAATCTGAAAACAAGCAAATGAGATGAATTTGAGAGAGCTGATGGTGAAAAAACGAATCTTTTTACTTACGATAGTTGATTTCAATCTGATATTTTCCTTTGGGAAGACCATCATGAAAAGGTTCAATTGTATGGTTCACTCTGCCCCAAATTTTTCGAAAAGTTGGAAGGGCAGCCGTTCGCATCCAAACGATTAGATGCTCGTTAAGATAACCATTGTTATCGGCATTCTCTGAATCGAGTTCCCAAACATTTTTCTGCCAATTGGGTGGATGAGTATAGCCTTTGAAAGCATCACTATCATTAAGTCCACCGGAAGGGTTACGAAATTTGATGTTTTTATCGGTTGCCCAAGCGATACCAGTTTCGATTAAGTTCATTCCTCGATATCTACCAGTTGATGTTTCAAAGTACAACATGGCAAAGGTATCATTGAAAAGCGAATTGGCTATAGCACCACAAGGGGCGATTGGTTTTCCATTAAACTCCTTGAATGGTTCACAATCAGAAGAAAGAGCATCTTTGATGCCCAGTAATTGTTTGTCATCTCTTGATTTGACGTACCTCCGATGGTTTTGGTAAAAATTGGTGAGTCCATAGTAGATGAAAACATCTCTAGCATAACTGCTTTGCAACTCAAAATCCAAAATACACTTACATGGATTATTAGCATTTGACTCGGAGATCTTTGATGCACAAGTTTCATTTGCATCATTGACGCAAAACGTATAGTCGATTGTAGTCTCTTTAACCTCATTCGAGGAAAGTAAAAGGCCTATGCCTATTGGGATAAACGTTATCCCAATTAACAAGAAGGTCGGTAAGACTGTCCCAGCTGTTAAAATGGGTTGCCAAGCGGGGAGCTTTTGTTGCTTGAATGCACTGCCTGAAGGTTGAGATGAATTAGGAAGATTTGGAGAGGCCTAAAATGAAGAAGAATTGAACACATAATTAAACGAAAGATGAAAACGAATAAGGTCATAATTAATACTCACCATGATGAAGAACAACAAACCAATGAAAATAATTTCTTGAGAAAGAAATAGAGACGATCGATTCTATCGAAGAATCGATACTATCGAAATTATTTCATCTTCATGTTCCTCTAATGATTAGAGTCTAATCTCAGCTGTCAAGTTGTTAAACTAAATTGTTAAAGTCTAATGATCAAGTGACAAGCATCGACTTTTCATTTTAGTTGATTGTCCAAGAATCTCAAATGGATGACACACATTTCTTGCTTGTCAAATTAATCGAAAGTCAAAACTGTTTCGTCAAAATTAACAGGAAACTATTATTCAATCAACCGGTGAGTTAATGATCACAAATTATTATGAATTAATTGACGTTCTTGTTTTTTTAGTTATGCATCATAAAAGTCACAATTGGTGGTCAAGTTAATAGACTGAACTATTTTACTGCGATTGGCCATGACGACAAAAGCTCTGAGGTTATTCATTTCCCTCAAGCCTTAGGAAATCAATTGGGTTTGATCAACGGTTCATTGGTATCAGTGAAATTCATCAAAGAAAAAGCCCCCGAATGTCATCGTTGCAATTTAACTCTAATCGAACCGAAAGGAATTGGCATTGACAGCTATCGAGATGAAATGACGAACAATATTTTAGACCAAATTCGTGTTATTTATCCTGATCTAGTTTTTCCTTTTTGGACTTCATCCAATGATGTTTTCTTTTTCAAGGTTACCCAAATCAACCCAAGTGTCGGGTTTTCGGTGCTAGTAAAGGATTCTCTCGTTGAGATTGGCCATGATATCAATGAGTCTTCAAAAGTGTCGTCAGTTGCGTATAAATTTATGGGCCTAATTCCTTTCTTCAATGCACCAAAACACGAAGCGGAAGATGCTGTCGATTCGGTAATAGTTAACTCGATCCAATGTAAAAATATTGACGATTCTGTTTTGAAAACAATCCTCAATGTTTCATCTGCTCCTTGCAACTTGGAGGTCAACTCAACTCTCAACACTATTTGGGTAAATTCAAGTCAATTCAACTTATCAAAAGATGAATATGGAGTTTTAATTGTGAACAAACTTCTACCTCCATGCGAAAAAGCCAAAAGAAATGAACTGAAGAAAAACACCGACATTTGTAAAAGAATTGACACCATCGATTCATCTGAAGAGGATCTATTTTTAGGTACTTACACTTTGGTCAGAGGTCATTCCGAATGTCCCATGTCCTGTGCCTTTGTGAGTGATAACTTGAAACAATTGGACTTATCTTTCAATTGTAAAATTTTCTTCGTCGTCACAAATCGAGACATTTTGTAAATTCGGACAATTCATGTTTAACAATCCCTACGAAGGAAACATTTTACGTTTGTCCAATTAGCGTGCAAACAACTTCATCTACTGAATTGATACGCAACAGTTTGAAGTCTTATGTCTCAAAACATAAGATTTTGATTCTTTGTCGAGGATCGTGTATCGATATTGGTGGACAGAATTTCATTGTTGCCTGTGACCCAGAAGATTCCTGTTCACCGATCAATGAAAAACTTTTAGAAAAAATCGATATTCGCGTGAAAAGTACCAGTTTCAGCAGAATATCAACGAGTTGGGGTAAACGGGTGCCGTTGATGAAACTACCTGAACTCAACGATAAGGAAATGCAAAGTGACCAACTTACCGTTTATCTTCCTTATCCTTTCATACCCTGGATGGAAAAAGAATTAGCCTCAGCTGTTGAATTTTTAGATCGTATTTTGATTCCCGATGGCTCGATTAAAGAGAACACTTCGTTCGCTAGAAACGTTTTATTGGTCCACGGACCAAAAGGAAGCGGCAAAACTTGTTTTCTAAAACATGTAATGGAACTCACTTCGAAAAAATATCCCTGTGTTTTCATCAAGACAATTCAATGTGGTTCATGGAAAACAATCTCATCACTGAAGAAACAATGGATTACTCAAATCGCTGAATGTATTTATTCTCAACCCTCGGTCCTCATATTCGAAGGGCTTGATCTAGTCGCACCTCATATTTCGAGGGTGGAAGAGGTTCCAGGAGTTGATACCATTGCGTCTATTCGAGCCTCGTGTATATTTTCTTCTATTATCAAATCATTTGACGAGCTCAATATAAGGTTTGGCCAGAGAATCGCAATCGTTGCAACGTGTACATCCCAATCGTCTCTAAATCAGATTCTCTTACCAATCAGAGGAAGGAGCATTTTCTCAGAATCAATTTCATTGGAGAATCCTAATTCGGAACAGAAAACGAATTATCCAAAGCTTTCTAAATCATCATGTCAATCTAATTAGCAGTTATTCTTGGCTCGATCAAATTTCTTACCGTTGTGAAGGATATTTAATTGCTGATTTATTAAATTTAGTGGATTCAGCGATTCACAATAAAGTCACTCTAAATCAGTCTGATGAGATTGGACTGGAAAATTTCGAGCATGCATTGCAACTCTTTCGTCCAACAATGATGACCGATATAAGAATTGAAAAAAGCACTGGAATATCATTCAGGGATATCGGTGGGTTAACGAAGGTCAAAAATTTATTACGAAATACTCTTCTTCTGCCTCTTAAATATCCAACATTATTCAGTAAATGTCCAATTCGTCCACCACGAAACATACTTCTTTACGGAGCTCCAGGAACGGGGAAGAGTTTGATTGCCGAGGCGCTAGCCAGTGAAAGTAGAGTTAATTTGATAAAAATTCGTGGACCTGAATTGCTGTCAAAATACATTGGAAGAAGTGAGAATCCATCAGAGAATTATTTGAACGAGCAGCAATTGCGAAACCATGTATCATTTTCTTTGACGAATTCGAGTCTTTGGCTCCGCGTCGAGGACAAGATTCAACTGGTGTTACAGATCGAGTTGTAAATCAATTATTAGCACAAATGGATGGAGTTGAAGTGATTGAACAAGGTGTTTATGCTATTGCCGCGACTTCAAGACCCGACCTTCTTGACCCAGCGCTCTTACGTCCTGGTAGATTCGATAAATATATTTGCTGTGATTTCCCTTCAACTGCTGATCGTTTGGATATTTGGAAAGTTCTAGGAAAAGATCTAAGCTTTCATGAGAGCTTCAATCATGAGATTATCGGCGAATTGACTGAGAACTTCACTGGCGCTGATATAAGAGCCTTACTTATAAACTCACAGTACGAAGCAATCGAAGAGCATGAAACAAAATGTATTCCAAATCTACCCAATGGAGTAATGAAGATAACAATCAATGAAGATCATGTTTTATCTGCAACAACTAAAACAAAGCCTTGCATTGACTCTGGAAAACGAGCCGAATATCGTTACATGTAAGTTGAATGCATCTCACTAATTGAGTCTAATCAATTTTTCTCTTTTTTCCTTTTCAGTTACAACAAATTTGCTGGAATCGAAACAGTTTCTCTGCCTATGCACCAAAGAGCAACTTTAGCCTGATGTTGAATCCAATTTGCAACTTGACGACATTTGCTCTAAATTATCAATCAATTTTTCAAGACTCTGTCCTATTTCTGCAGCCGAATAATCAATTGATTTACCGTGATTCAAATGATGGTTAATAACAAAGTTCGTTTAATAATTGTATCGAAAGGTTAATAAAAAATTTGAACAATTTACAGTCAATTGAAGATGGTTAAAAGTGAAAGTTAATAAAGGTAATTAGTGTAAAAAATTTAACTGAGTTTTAGATTGACTTTTAACCTAATAATCCTTTTCCACCCACAGCAACTTTCTTGACACCAGCAGCACCAGCAGCACCAGCCGCTTTCTTGAATCCAGTTGCAGCAGCTGCACCAGCTTTTGCACCGGCTTTTCCAGCCTTACCTCCTGCGAATCCAACTTTTCCTCCTTTGGCTCCTTTCTTGAAGGCGGCAGCTCCTGTAATAAATGAATTCAAGTATAAGAAATGGGAAATTGAATTTCTAGTGGAGTAACAAACCTTTAGCACCGGCGACTCCTCCTTTAGCTCCTTTTGCCCCCATGGCTCCTCCAGCGGCACCAAAGCCAGCAGCTTTACCGAATTTGAAGCCTGAATAATAAGAGTGTGTTATAATTTTGTATCTAAAACCATTCAAATTGTTACTAACCTTGGCTGCTTCCGAAAGTTTTGACAACTCCCATTTTCTTATTGAAACCAGCTCCACCCGCCTTAGCAAATCCTCCCTTTTTGCCGAATTTCTTACCAAATGCACCAGAAGCAAAACCTTTCTTTGCTGCAGCCCCTTTTTTACCTATTGAGTGTTGATAGAAAGTGTTGAATTGTAATTTCACTCGATTATTCAATTGTAAATTGTTTCTTACCTCCAGCGGCTCCAGCAGCTCCGAAAGCAGCCCCAGCTTTCTTACCAGCGGCTCCAGCTTTGAATCCCGCTTTACCTTTCTTGCCAGCCTTGAAACCTGCTGCTGCTGCACCTTTTTTACCTCCCTTAAAGCCCACAACGCCAGCAGCTCCTTTACCACCGACGGCAGTTTCAGCCTCTTCCAGATCAGATCCGACTTCTCTTTTGTTTCGACTTTCGATCTCGCCTTCGTCAGCTTCGTCGTCCTCAAAATTGTCCTCGCCTTCTTCAACTTCACTGGGCTCTGTGTCACTTGATTCACAATTAGCAATGTTGATGAAGATAACTGAGAAAATGGCAATAAAGAGAATCTGCAAGAGAAAAAAATGTTAGTTTAATTACAAAAAGATTGAATTGATTAACTTCTTACCAATTTCTTATTCATTTTGGTTTGGTTAGTTTTTATTAGATTCACAGATTAAGCAACTATTTTCGAATTCACGAGCAAATTGATGCTGATTGTTGTTGTTTGATGTTGGAAACTTGACTGATAATTTCTCTGAATCTTAGAGCGATATTTATACTTGTACTACGAACGCTTTGTAACATGATGGACAAACTAGTTTCCCGTCATCGAATGACCTTAATCCTTGGATTAGCGAAATTAATTGTTCATGGGATAACCCGTTCAACTGCGTTAAAGCAATATTAGTACAGATCAAACGTAAAGGAAGTATGGGTTGCGAATCCAACACAAATGTTGGTACTTTTTTAAAGGTTCAATGCACTTGGTCGATTTTATCTTTCTCCTTTCAAGTACAATCGATTGTTCATTTTCATCAGTTTCTGTACCAATCAACGTATCTCCTGTTGATTCTTATGCTCTTTGGTCAAATATAATTGATTTCGAATTGACTTGATTATTCTTCCAGACTATCCCGAGTGAGCTGATTCAACTGAAAGAGAGAACCTAGAATTTGAATGATTCAATGATAATGATTAATTAATTGAGATGCAGGTATTGTTTGTGATTGTTTTCCAATCAAGAATTGAAATGGTAAAGAAGTCATTATGATATGTGATCGATTGAAAAGATTTCCATCAGTTTTCTGTATTCAACTTCAGTTCCCAAAACAATAAGAACTCTGAATTGTGGCATGAAAATGAAAGCGAAACCAACACAAGTTATCAACAAACGCGGTGCTTTATGGAAAGCGTTTCGTCAGTCGTTGGTGTTCACCAATGATCAACTGATTCCTTTCATCATCTGTTGTTTATGTGCGTTAACACAGGTAACAGATCTATTGGCCATTTATTTTTCATTCCAAACGATGACCCTGATCAATTTGTATAGTCCAATGTTCATCAGTCTACCTGCTGTCTCTTTGTGCAAATATGATCTCAACGAGAATTTGGTAAGACAGAAAGTGTCCCGATTCAATGAATCGTTAGAAATCGATATTGATGCGCTGAGATTCAATTTAACTTTGGGTGAACTAAATGATGTCACACCTACAGCCGAACAACTTGTTACTGATTGTGCCGTTGCTAATTCGTCTTTGCCGATCTTTGGTGAAGTCAATTATGTCGATTGTTTCAGTGTAGCGCCAGTAAAGGTTAATCTGAATGCTCATCGAAAGTGTTTCACTTTCTTTCATGACAAAGAATCACCTTTCATCTATCCAAAGAGCACCTTCTATGATGAATACTTTTTAACTTTTATCGTTAATATAAGTATCACTTCTCATCCATATTTTCAGATGATCATTCATGATACGGATACGAAAGTCTCTCTCAACTATGGTAGCCTTGAAATGATCACCATGGACACTAATCGATTCAATGACTTTGTCTTCACGTATTATACAGAACAGATCATGGGAATGGAATATCCTTATTCAAATTGTTTTCTTTATCATCATAAAAATGGGAAAACTTAACACGATACAATCAAAGAGTGTATATTCAATTCTATTATCGAGCATTCGAGGATGATATTCTTGTTCAAATTCCTTTCGAACCTGATAATGTTTCATTTGTCAGAGGAATCAGAGCGACTCGTTGCCGATCTCATTGTGAAATTCAATATGATAAACCAGAATGTCGAACTAAATCTTATCAATTGGTTATATTAAGATCATTAAATAATTCTGACTACATTGATTTGCTCCATGGACCTGGAATCATACAAATTATGTTTGGTTATCCAATTGGCTCGCAAATTAATGTAACCATGATGCCTAAACAAGATAAACTCGAATACTCATGTTATATCGCAAGCATTATCAATTTGTGGCTCGAAATATCAATTCTTGGCGTCGTACAATTTGTTTTCAAACAAACTCGATAAATATCTGAAATATCTTTCGAAATGAAACAAAATTAGTGTAATTGATGAAAAGTTTAGGATAATATTAATAGCTTAGTTGATGGTAGATTGTTCTTTTAATAATCATTGACCTTCGAGTTGATTAAGTGTCTATGAAAAAGGAACAAATTTTCTCATCTTAATATCAATTCTATTAATAGAAATGGAGCGAATTTTTCGTTTTTCCATGAGAGAAGAAGTAAAATTCTATGATTTAGGTTTCATCCATTTTATCTTCTTTCATTGTTGAAGATGCAATAAAAATATTGGCTGAACTTCTGATTAAGGGCCATCGGCGGATCGGTATGTTGGTCATATTATATATATACTTTCGATAATGACAAGTTCAAAAAAATATATGAGAAGTTGCGCAGATTTATACTTGCGGAGTAATAGGGTGGTAAAAGTGAAATTTTGCATGTAAGCCTATGGGGAAGTGAAAGTGCTAATCGGATGTTCAATATTTTGTTTTTTGAAGCTAGAGCAGATCGTGGAGAAGATCGAGGGAGTATTTCGAGGGAGCGGATTGAGGGAGCAATACTGCTGATTGCTCATACTTGTCATTTTACTTTCAGTCGTCGTGTCAACATCAATTTACTATCAATTTATATACACTGTGAGCAGAAATAAGTGCCGAACTTTTTTTCGCATTTTCTCACAAACGGGCTGTCTGATGACACCCAAATTTTCTGAGTGTCATCTAGGGCCAAAAGGAAAATGTCTGACACTATTTTCGAATTTTCCGAAAATTCGAATTTCCTATGGGATTTTACATGGTAAATTTTAGAACCTTCTGAAAGTAGATTTTTGAGGCGAATCTCAATGAAACAAATTGTTGTGAAAATTTTGGAACAGCTTTCTTCATTCGGAATGATTAGCAGTGTTAGATAATAGCTGAACATGCGTAGACCCTTTTTAAGGTTTTAGACTGCTAGAAGGTGTTTAATTACGAAACAAAAGCTCAATAGGATCTTTGCATGAATTAGAGAATTGAAAACACCCGGAAAAATTACCTTCTAGAAGGTTCTAAAATTTACCATGTAAAATCCCATAGGAAATTCGAATTTTCGGAAAATTCGAAAATAGTGTCAGACATTTTCCTTTTGGCCCTAGATGACACTCAGAAAATTTGGGTGTCATCAGACAGCCCGTTTGTGAGAAAATGCGAAAAAAGTTCGGCACTTATTTTTGCTCACGGTGTATTTACATCTATCTTTTTCTATTATTATTGCTATTGTGATTTCAACAATGGCTTCCACTCATAGATTTGATAAAGCTCGGAAAATAGATATTTTGGAAGCTTATTTAAGTTCCGAAAAGTCTCCTTCTAAGACTTTAGCTAAATTTTAAAAAGAACTTTGTGGAACAATCGGTTTCTCAAAATTCATCCATCAACAATCACACAAATTTACCGAGTGTTCAGAGAATATGGCTCAGTTGAACATCAAACTAAAAGAGAAATGGTTGTCAGAACTGCAAGAAAGATACGAGCGGTGAAAAACAACCAAGGAAGCATCTAAAGATGGTCGATCATTGAGTGCTTGGAGAATAGCCACTCAAGTGGGATTGTGACGACAACGTGACTTATTTTGCGCCACGATTTGCGTCTTAGGCCATGCCACTTTAAACTTATTCATAAGCTCAATGAAGACGATTTTGATCGCCGAGTGGAGTTTTGTGAACGCCTGCTCCTTCATCATTCGCGTTCTGACAACTTTTTACATAGGATCATATGGTCCGATGAAGCTATATTCAGTTTGAATCAAACTGTCAATAAGCACAATTGTGTCTAGCTCCATAGCTGTCGATAACCTTGCGGAGGAAAAAGTTATGATTTGGGCTGGAACCTGGCAAGGTGGTAAAATATTGTCTTATTTCCTTCCAGGCAGTGTAGATAAGGATAGCTATCTTGAAATGATGAGAGATTACGTTTCTCCTTCATTATTTGCGAGGAGGAACGATTATAATCAACATTTCATCTGGAAACAGGATGGCTCTTCCGCTCATTCAGCACTGTCTGTGAGGAAATACATAAATGAAGAATTTAATACATGGATAGGGAGACGGGGGACATTGGAATGGGCTCAAAGATCACCAGACTTTTTTCTATGGGGTTACCTCAAAGATGAAGTTTTCGCAAGGAATCCAACAACGGATGAATTGAAAACATTTATCTTTGAGGAGTTTAATGAAGTTTCTCAAGAAATGATAGATCGAGCATGTCTCTCTGTTAAACAGAGGTGCAAAGTTTGCATTATATTTGAGGGAAAACAACTCAAGTGCCATGAAAACTATGCTTGAAATCTAATCACTCGGCTACCAAAGCATCGGTACGGTGTATCGGTTGGAGTTTATTGGAGAGAGCTAAACTGGTTGATTTCCGTGGGAACTGTTTTCACTGGTTTTCTCAGGTGAAACTGTCCACCTTCAACAAGATTTATAATGGCCTTTTGAAGATTAGGTGTTGATTCACTATTACCCAATTCTGAATGTTGATTGGATGACATTGTCAAAGTAGGAATGAGCCAAGGCAGGGATACTTGATTGAGTGTAGGGGGAAAAAGTGAGAGAGATTCTAAATTTTAACAAGAGAGGAAGGTGGCGTGGATTAGAGTTGAGTTGGCACTTATTGAGTTAATCACAGAATAAAAAACTTAAACGCAACAAGCATAAAATTGAACTTGCTGAGTTCAAAGAAACAAAGAGAATGATTGTTAACCTTAATGAACTTAAACGTGATATTAAATGATTTCGTGCATGCGATTTTGAGTGACAAGGCTGGGTGACTAGTCAGGCTGGCAATCTTGGCGTCAAACTCCGTTACTAACTTAGGCGCATTATTTGTATTGACTGGTACATTACAAAAGTAATATTTATATAAAAGATTTGAGCTTTAGGACGATTGAGCGATCCGTAGTTAATCATTAGAGCGATTGAATTTGTTCAACTTACTAATGATTTGTTGACAAACGATGTTAAGGGTTGAGACCTTGGCGTTGCCTAGGCTACAGATGATTGATTGCTTGAGTTGCCCTTCACTTAGGTCATGTTCTGAAGAACAGTAATCAGTAAGCAATTTGAAGCTTTAGAACAGAAACGGAGAAAAAGTATAATACAGATTTTAGTATTGTAAAAGATGCGAAACTCAAACTGTCTCTGGCCAACTAATCAATTGATTAGGAAACATCA